CGCTCGGGCGCCGCGTCTGCGCTCGCCCGGGCGACCCCCGCAAAGGCCTGGAGGTCACTTCCATGAGGGGAAGCCCCGGCCCACGACCTCTTGGCCCTTTTAACACTGTCAGCCTCACTTGCCAGGAGACACCCCCTCTCCCCACACTACGAGGGAAAAGGAACGAGATTTACAGAAAATGAAAAAAAAGAAAAATCGAGTCCTTCGGGAGTAAAATGACAGAATCAAGGGGAACGAGCTGCGGAAAACTAAGGAAGGCATTTGGAATGTGTGGGCAAACCAAAGGTAGTCAATGGAAGTCCAGACCTTGACACCTGGTGCTTTTATCCGTTACCAACCTGATTTGCAGAAATAGAGGCAACCAGGAGTCCTCTCCTCAGGACACCAAATATGGTCTGGCCCGAAAAATGAAAATGCTCTTTGGTCATCAGAAGGCGTGGCAGTAATAGTAGCCAGAGGGTAAGTTCTAGTCCCTGATCTCAAGAAGGAACTGGCAGAGGATCAGAAATAGCTTCATCTTGATATTCCAATCAGACTGGACACTCCAGTTGGACCAAGAGGGTACTGAGTGATATTTAAATCATGAAGTATATATTTAGATTAAGCAAGGATGGCCTTATTTGTCAAGATTTGAAGTAACTGAATTAAACAGGGCACACCCCAAACCCAGGAGTAGTTTACTTATCACCAAGTATCACTTTCTCAGGTTGAAAGGAGCCAGGGAGAGCTTCCCCTTGGGAGGGCAAGTGTAAGGTGAAGTTAAAATTAAGCAGCCCAAGATGAGTTCAGATCAAGTCAGAGAGAGAACAGCCCAGACCAAAGGCTGTCCCATCTCCTTGGACACTGAATGGGCCAACTCCTTCCCTCCACCAAGAGGCACCCTAAGACCCAGGAAACATTTCCAGCCCCAGCTGCTGTTCTGAGTCATCATCTGTCTCCTGCACAGGCATCCTCCTTGCCTGAGGATCTGTGGAAGCCAAACTGGGTGACAGATCCTTTCACTGCTACTTCTGCCTTGACCTTTACTTTTTTGATAAAGTTAAAAAAAAAAAAAAAGTTTTCAAAGCATATAGATTTCCGGAGTGAGGCTCTCTGCCTGTAGGCCAGTCAGAACAGAGCCCCTGGACGGCTGCCCTTGTAACCGTGCAGTGCCTGCCCCCAGACCAGTAACTCAGAGGACTTAACACCATTAAAAACCAGAGCCCGCAACTGGCCAGCAGGAATAAATACACTGATAGCACAGATGTTTGTATCCACAAATATTTATTCAGTGCCTGTATGCAGAGAGATGGTCCCTGCTCTCTCGGAGCTTACAATTTCATCACTCCAGCATTCGACTAGATTTAAAAACTGCAACAAGGACTGGTCTTTATCTAATGTCAGCAGCAGGAAGCAGATTTCTCACTGTATTGGTCATGGTTACAGTTAAATTGTGAATAAAACATTATCTTTGAAGTCTGTAGTCACAGCAATGACATGGTATATGATTCCCAGCAAATGCAAAGTTATGGCTTGATTCCTCCTATTTGAGAGGGGTCTATTGAAATAGAACACAAATCAGAAAGGGAAAGCTTAGTAACACAGGTCCTAAGAATACTGGTGTAGTTTATTATTAAACTGCCACAGAACTCTTGGCAAGGTGGGAAATTATTTCCTGCAAAATTGGTGCAGTATAATTCATTTAATCAGACCTGCAAATTTTATAACCATGTACAATCACTTGTGATGGGTAAATATGATTTACCTTTGATTCCTAAAGGGCTCTAGATATGTATCGATATTTATTTTCTAGGGCTTCTTAAAGACTCACAGCACAAGTGGCACATTAAAATATACCTAAAACTGCTTTGGGGATATCTAAAAATCAAAATGACAGAAATGTCTAACTTCTCAGAATTCAAATAGCATTTAGCCAAGCACCTGGCTTTTCTGAGTTAAAAAGGGGAACAAATTCTGGTTGCTTATCAAACTCCAAAAGCAAATCATAAACTTCATGTTAACTTTCAAACATTCAGTGGCATCCTCTTCCTTTTTGTGGTCCTGCTTCACAGGCCAGCAACTTTAGAAGTCTAATTATAGAACATTCAAAGGAGCAATTATTTTTATTACATTGGCAATACTTTTTTTGGCAAAACAGCTTATATCAAACAACCCCCAAATCACATTTAAGATTTGCAGGGTATCTGAACTTACTAGAGTTCGTCAATTACTCATGGGGGGAAAAAAAAAAAATCCACCAAAGGGAAGCTCACTTAAACCCCGAGAAAGCTCATTTTTTGCAAAAAGATGGAGAGAACATCTTTGACCACCTAACATATGTCAACCAGCCCAAGGCAGTTTTTAAATCAATTGCTAGGGACATGGTCTACTTTTCTAAGAAAGCACTGAAATCACTACTTCAAAAGCCTATTTAATAACTCAGAATGAACCTGAAATGTACTATTGATTGAAAATTTAAGAGACACCAGGCACTTTGCATATAATCTCCCACAATGGAAGGAAGCGTCTTATCTTTACATGGAGGAAAGCCTGAGCAGGGTGTGACCCAGGTCTGGCTCATCTGTCCCCTGTCCAGCTCCTGCAGTCCTAGTGTGGATTAGCAGCTATATCCACTTGGCACCTTCAAGCAGTCAAGTACATTCCTCCCTCAGGCCTTTCAGTGAAGAGGAGGAGGCAGGTCTGGGTGACAGGACAGCAGTAACTCTATTTGAATTTTAAATGGCACTTCCTAGAAGTGGAAGATTCACTCAGCAAAAAAACCTAACTGCAGCCAGCAACTAAAGTATAGTTTATCTCCCTGGGATATAACAGTTGCTTTTTAAGGTTGTCACCTTTCCAGCTTTTAGGCTGTTTTTAAACAGAGTAGTTGTACGTTAAGCATTACCAAAAGGAAAGACGGTTGGAAGGACTTTCCTTGGTGTCCTTCTTCACAGCTATGGAGAGAAAAGAATTTTTTTTAAATTTCTGAAGTGACTGATACTTCCAGTTTATGACATGTCACAAATCAAATCACATGTTTCCTGAGAGGCGCAGAAGACACTTTAATGGGGCTTAAATACTGGAATATAACTACTAAGAAGAAAACTCCCTGGTAAGATAAAACTAATCTCTTCTGAAAGGGTAATTTCCTATTCTTTGGAATGTAACAGACTTTACAGTAAAAGCAGGGAACAATGAAACAGGCTAACAACTTTCAAGTGAGTTTTTAATGTCATGTATAGGAACATATTAAAGGGAGTATCACCAGTAAAGTCAATCCCTTTATTAAGTTTTGATACAGCTATACTGGAGATTGATTAAAATGAACGTTTTCTTCACTAGAACTAGGAGATTAAAAAGAAAGAAAAAAAAAAAAGACTAGAAAAAAATACCGGGAGTAAGGCACTTAATTCTGATGAGTAACTCTGATTAGCCGGAGGTCTTCAACAGGTTGCAGGAGGTGGGAGCAAAGGTTTCATTCATGGACAGGAAGGAGCAGGAGAGGCAGCTGTCAGTCGGTTCCCCTTGCTGAGAACCCCCCACAATGCTGAGCAGGGAGCCAGGCCTGGAGCTCAGGCAGAGGAAGCTTTGGTGAAGGGTGCTCAAAGATTCTGAGATCCCTGCTCGAAGACATACATAGACCCTAGTGGAATACTGGGTGGCTTGGCTCACCGTAACTACATGCTATTAAGAGCCACGGGGAGGAGAAAAAGCTCAAAAGTAAACCAAACTTTAAAACCTGAATCATTGGGAATCAGTGTTGAAAGTGTGGAATGAGTCTTAGTTATCAACACATACTGAGCTTGAGTGGGAGCTGGGTTCTGACTGGCCACCAAAAAAGTGAGCAGCGGAGGAGCCCGGACCTTGACCAGCAGTCAGGACCTCTCCCTGCCGTACTTCTGGTCAGATCACAGCCTCCTGCCCATGTGGAGTTTCTGAGAGCAGGAGGCACTGCCAAGGCAGCGGGCTGGAGCCCCCCAGCAAGGCCAACCGAGAGGCACGGAGCTCTATCTAGACACATTACCTGTGCAGTAACAAGCAGCATAAGCTGCTCTGACCTCCACCTACAGTTCTTGCAGCAACTACTATGGAAGTGTTTTTCTTCCTCGGGAGGGTGGGGGGACAGGGGGGATGGTGGAGAGATGTTAAAACCGTCTTCCTGACAGTCTGACAGCTGAGGCCGTGTACACTGAGGAAACTGCTCTTACGACCTCACTGGGTGGTGGCCTGTATTTCATCAAAGCTTCTTATCATCTCATTGTCAAAGGTGGGACACAAGTTACATTCAGAAAGATGGGCAGAAAGCTACAGCTCTCCAACTGACTTTTTCTGGAAAGTACTACATATATCACAAAATTAGAGATTTTCATCTCTAGCATTTTTCTTTCTTACAAATAAGAAAGCTTAAGGGAAACAGAATGAAATATTCTCACTTTCAGAGCTTTCCAATATTCCATTATTTCCAGCATTTCCATTATTAACTCTAATATTCAATCTAAGACACGTTTCAAACAGGAATTACATTACCATTTTTAAAAAAACTTCAACACAGTTAAATCTAGGGTATGCTTTTTTTTTTTTTTGCATTCAGCATCTATTACTCTATCACTGTGAAAGCTCTTCTTAAGCATTTATTTAAAAAAAACTAGAATCATATTCACAATGTAGAACAAGTTTATAAAATTGGTGTGTAAAGTTCATCGTAAAAGGATAACACTATGTTTAGAAACAAAGCTGCCTCCCCTGCTATATTTCTTTATTCTTGATATAAACAGGAGACATATACTATTTAAAAATAATACTTTTTAAATAGTAAAATATACAAGAGATTCCTGAGCATAACAAAAATACCTTGAAAATATGTGGCCATCTAAAGTATAAAATAGCAAGTGTAAAGAATAGCATGATTGTAAAACTACGTTTGAAGGCTTAGAAACAGTATAAAATAGTTTGCCTTTTTTGAGTGCATAATTAGATATTAGTGCAAACAAAAATGTCTCAAAATTTAATGACTACAAATCTCAAAGATTTGCAGAGGTGCGCAAAACATGGAATTTCTTTAACGTCATGCGAACAGAACCCAGCTCTCGATTAATCTTCTCCAAACGATCTTCCAAGGCTTCCTGGGCGAAAATAAAGGAAAGAACTTAATCAGAATTCTACCGAGTTCACCAGTTCTATAAGTACCACCCAAAATGACCTCTCTTTCAGCAAATGAGCAAGTTTAAACATCAAAATTAAAATTATTTTGGCTTTTATACAAATCATCCTTTACATTATTTCATTGTAACCATTCAACCATTCAAGGTAACTGCTAAACTTTAAATATTCTCAATATGTTTGATACACTATGTGGAAATTATAGCAACAGCAACCCAGTTCTCTAGAAGGAGAGAATTATTTGACTCTGCTGAACTGAGAACAGTACAAGAGGAACCTAGAAGGTTCTTCATACATTTCCTCAGAAAAAATGGACACATCTGATTGGTGCTGTAACCCACTTATATCAGATAATTTTCTTCTGACCAAAATTTCTAGGTTAAAAAGGAAAAATGCTGGAGGATAACTTTCCAAGAAACAAGAGATTGTACAATGAATCAGTGTAACAACTGCTATTTTAAAATAAATACTACTACTGTTAAATAGTACCTGAAATATATATTCACCAATTTAGGTATTTTATTCAGTACTAACTCCAATGGTATCCTGAAATAAAACCTAAAAATTTTCTCTTCAACAACTTTCACTGTAAGAAATGAACAGTTCATTTTTAGGATATTCAGAAGATAGGAGAGCAAAAAGTAACAACCACTGTTCCTCTTTCCTGTTTTTTTATGTAGATAGGAACATCATTTTTAAGAAAAAAATCAAACACTTCTTTAGAATGTTTTTCAATTTAACTTCTCTTGTTATGGAATATCCTTTATGAGATCATTTTAAATTAAATATATATTCTGAAACATGTCTCTACACATACCTAGAAATATTGCCTTAGGAATAATTTCCTGAAGTAAAAACGCTAGGTCCAAAAAAATGTGTAATTTTAAAGCTTTGGATACATGTCAAGCTGAATTCCAAGAAGTCTGTGACACTTTCTCCTTACTCAGTGTTGAAGGATAAGCTTTTCCCTAGCCCAGGTATCATTGTGTTTTTTTTTTGTTTTACACCCGCCAATGTAAGAGCTTAAAAATGATGCATGCACACGTGTGTGCTCAGTTGTGTCCAAGTCTTTGCAACCCTATGGACTGTAACCCACGAGGCTCCTCTGTCCATGGGATTCTCCAGGCAAGAATACTGGAGTGAGTTGTCATCTCCTCCTCCAGATTTTTCCCACCCAGGGATCAAACCCACGGCTCCTGCGGCTCCTGCACTGGCAGGCAGTTTCTTTACCACTGAGCCTACTGGGAAGCCTTAAAAATTATGCTTTTGTTTAAATGTGTGTTTGTTTTTTTTTAACTCATTAGTGAGGTGGAGCATTTTTCACCTTTTTTTGCCCTTTTTCACGTACGAATCCTACACAAGCATCCTCAGCCCTTTTTTGTTGTTGTTGCCCTTTGTCTTCTTACTATATTGAAACAGCTTTGACATACATGACCAGAAACTAAGGCCCTTTAAAAGTCTTATTTTAAGAGCTTGTTGCGACTTCCCTGGTGGTAAAGAATCTGCCTGCCAATGAAGGAGACACGAGTTCAATCCCTGGTCCAAGAAGATCCCACATGCTGCAAAGCAACTAAGCCCATGTGCCACAACTACCAAGCCTGTGCTCTAGAGCCCGGGAGCCACAGCGACTGAGCCCCCGGGCGGCAACTACTGAAGTCCGCACACTCCAGAGCCTGTGGTCAGCAACAAGAGAAGTCACCACCACAAGAAGCCCACACACCACCACCAGAGAAAAGTCTGCACAGCAGCGAAGACCCAGCACAGCCAAAAACAAAAATAAATAAAATTCTAAGGAGCCTGGGCCTCCCTGATAGCTCAGCTGGTAAAGAATCCAATCCCTGGGTCAGAAGGATCTGCTGGAGAAGGGATAGGCTACCCACTCCAGGATTTGTGGGCTTCCCCTGTGGCTCAGCTGGTAAAGAATCCGCCTGCAATTTGGGAGACCTGGGTTCAGTCCCTGGGTTGGGAAGATACCCTGGAGAAGGGAAAGGCTACCCACTCCAGTATTCTGGCCTGGAGAATTCCATGGACCAGTCAATGGGGTCTCAAAGAGTCGGACACGACTGAGTGACTTTCTCTTCACTTCATAAAGAGTTTATCATCATTATGTAAACATATGTAAATATATATGGAACCAAATGTTTCAGATACATTTAGAATTAGAGAACCAACAAATTTTTCTTCTGCCTTCCCAATAAACTGTTTTATTTATTTTTGGCTGCACCTTGTGACTTGTGGGATCTGGGACCAGGACCAAACCTGTGCCGCCTGCAGGGGAATCACAGAGTCCTAACCACTGGACCACCAGGAAATTTCTCAGTAAGCTACTTAAAAATGAGTTTCATGTGTTGAGTCTTACCAATTATTGAATAAAAACTTTCAGAGCAACAAAGACAATGAAAGAAAGTCAGAAACAAAGAGACGTTAAAGATAATGAAGATCCCATGTGGAATCTTCCTGGACTGGGGATCGAGCTCATGTCTCCTTCACTGGCAGGCAGATTCTTTACCACTGAGCCACCAGGGAAATTCCAACAAGCTCTTAAAATAAGACTTTCAAAGGGCCTTAGTTTCTGATCATGTGTGTCAAAGCTGTTTCAATACAGTAAGAAGACAAAGGGGAACAAAAAAAAAGGGCTGAGAAGGCTTATGTAGGATTCATAAGTAAAAACCTAGAAAAAGACCTCTTCTTCTTTCTGTGTCTCTCTTTCCTTCTGATATCATAGATCAATCTGAGAATGAACTTTTCCTGACATTAAGCCACTGAAAAGCCAAAGCATGCAGTTATATGAGACACAGCACTGATGTGATGTTTAAAATGTTACAAAAAGAGATTTAAAATGTCCCATGGTTTCATGCATTTTATTGATAATTCTCTTTGAAAAGCAACTAAAAGAAAGGCACATGGGCCATTTCACCTGTACCATCTCCTGCTCAATAATGGAGTCACATCTCTCTTTTTAACCTCACATCTATTCCAGTTGCAAAGTGCCACTGTTTCACACGTTTACTAAACGGAAAGAGATTCAGAAATAATTTGCAGTTTGGAAAAAACAAAACACAAAAAGAGAGATTTAATGTGAGAGCCTTAACAATGCAGAAATCTGCTAACAGACATCTTGCCATTTGCTCCCAAGTCAGTTTCTTGAAAACATGATGGCATGAATGCCTTTTTCTTGGAAGTATCAAGTAAAATCACTTTGTTCCTGAAAGCTAGCATCAAGTTATAAAATACGCTGTCATTACCAAACAGTTCCCATAAAGGCTCAAAGTTCTGATCGACTGTTGTAGTGTGCCTAAAAACTGACATTAAAGAACCACTGTGGGGGCCGTGCGGATTTCCCTGGTAGTCCAGTGGTTAAGACTCCGCCTGCCGACGCAGGGGACATAGGTTTGATCCCTGGTCCGGGAACTAGGATCCCACATGCCTCGGGGAAACTAAACCCCTGCGCCACAACCACTGAGCCCTCGCTCTAGAGCCCACGCTCTGCAACAAGAGAAACCAGCCAAACAAGAAGCCCACGCACCACAACTAGAGAAAGCCCACACGCAGCCAACAAAAACCCAGCACAGCCATAAATAAGTAAATAAATACTTTTTTAAAATTAGAGGAAAAAAAAAATCCTCGTGGTTAAATGGAGCACTGACTAGCATCAGGCCTCCAAAGCAGATTCAAGCTAAAACACTTCACCTGATTTAATCTTGTCTGCAAAGTGACTCGTCCTCCAGTAGAAGGCATTCGGCTTAGTGCTGCCTCGATCTGGTAACACACACAAAAGACCGTTTAAATAAAAATAGGGGAATTCTAATTACTGGCAAGGATGTTTATAGCAGAATGGAAAGAAAAGACTTCAGCCTAGTATTTTCTTGTCCATCTCGACTTCACCTGAGTTCCCTCTGACACAGTAACGACAGCTCGTTCACACACGTTTCCAGTACAGCTTTGGATGGCATCAACAGTAACTTCCTGTGTTTGACTCAATAATTCCCTTCTGACTGTTCCTCAGACATATGTGTTCAGACAAAGATTTAAAACTTTTTTTTTGTTTTTACCTGGTCTTTTTCTTTTGTAAGTTCATCAAAAAACCGTTCCGTTTCAGCTAGGGTCCTTATCTTGGCTGTATACTCAAAATTGTTACCCTGTGGTGCTGTGGAGACAGGCTGACACTGTTCATAGCTAACTGACTTGTTCTTCTCCCAGGCTGGTCTCACAGAGACTTTCTTCGCTCCATTTGGCAACGGTTCGGGGGAAGAGCTATGATTAACATGGATGTCAGTGGCTTTTTCTGAGTATTTTTTTTCTGCCAGAGAGAAAAGAAATTTCTTCCTTATCACCTCTCCTCAGAGAGCATGTACAATACTAAATATAATACCCAACTTCACTTTCTGGAAATGGCTGCTGCACGGTCAAAAAGACGTAATGAAAAGAAAATATGTAATCAATCATATATACTCAGCTTTTTCTCCTCAGAATTCTAAAAACCTTTCCCTCAGTCTGACAATCTTCACATCTACCCTAAATAAACATATGCAAACTTTCTGTAAACTTGAAGCAAAAAAAGTTTAAAAAATAAGCAGCTCATTTAGTGGACATATGTCAACATTACAGAGTTAGCATTTTAAGGGCCTGCCCAAGCAATTTCACATCTATTATTTTATAACTTTATTTCAAACAGAAAGTACAATTGAGAAAAAGGAAAAAACATCCAAAGCCTAAGTTGTATATAAGTCATAGAATATAAAAACCTGAACAGTATGGCCCTGGTAATTAAACACTAACACCCCCTGACCTCAGTTTCCCAACTTTCCAATGAGGATAATACTTACAAACAATATGAGCGTCAAAAATGCTTATTTTTAGAGGCCCTTGGGTAAAAAAAAGATTTAAGTGCAGGCTATAATGACATCTAGAGCCTTGATACCAGAAACTCACAAAATGAATGACTAAAACCATTATTAATAATTTTTTAGGAAGAGATACCTTCTGAGTCATCTAGAGGAAGAAACTGGAGTTGTTTCCTTGGATTGGAACGTTGTACAGTAGACACAGGAACAGTATCTAAATCATCCAAAAGTATATCAAATCTATTGAATGAAGCAAGTTACTTGTGAGAAAAAAATGTTAACCGATGTCCCCTATTCTCCACTAGACAGATGAGCTGGCATCCAAGTTAACTCACATATTTACATATTTTTTAAGAGAGAAAGGTGGTCATATATTTTTTAAAACTTAAATTTAAATAATATTTTCTAACACAGAATTATATTTACATACTGGCGACTTAAAGCATTTACTGATACATGATCTCATCTGATCTTTGTAACAACCATATGAAATAAGCAGGTAGGCATTATTATCCCTGTTTTATAGAAAAGGAAACTGAGGTTCAATGTGCTTCATTAATTTTCCCCAACAGACTGAATGAGCTGGGCCACCAGCTCTCCTTTCTTAGGAGTCAGTGGTCATCTCCCACCACAGCACACACTGCAGACCACCCTTCAGAGAGAATAAGCTTCTCAGGAGCACAGGTAAACTGATGTTTAGTGCCAGGGCCATATCAGGATAGCCCACTTTCTTGTACAAATGGCCCCCAGTTTTCCTTATACCTTAAACCTTTTTAGGAAATCAAAGAATTACTCTATATCCAAAAGTTGGAAGGGGTTCTAAGGCATATTTAAATTTTATAGTAGCCAGTTTACATGGTTAAAAACTGTTTTCATGTATTATAGTACTTTTTTTATTTTTAATAGGGCGTTTATTTAAATGATTTAAATCCACAGAATCCCCACTGACAACTGAAAAATTAGTGATAGGCAGACGTAAAAGTTGACATTTTTAAAAAAAAAATCAATTCTATACATATTTTATTCTACAGTTTTAGAGAACTTACCTAATCGGGCTGCTTTCGTTTTTGCTAAGTAGATGACTAAATCCTGGGGACAAGTTTTCTTTAGGGGATCGCTTTGGACTATACGCCACGGTCACTGGTGTTAACATAATCTCTCTTTTTGCTACAGAGGAAAATGAAGAGGGGACAGTCTTTTCCTTCTATGTATGGGCTATGTTGGCAGAATATAGAAAAGTACTGAAAGAAAAACTAACTTTAAAAAGAATACATTTTCGCTGTAAAACTTTTTGAAAGATAAACAAGAGTATACAAAATTAAAACAATTCATGCTTCTAACTATCTAGGGAAAACCACTGGCCACATTTTACTCTATCAGACTGTCACTGCAGTGCTCTGTCTCAAAACTGGTTTTTCAGGATTTTAGAAGTCGACTGGAAATAAGATGGAAACACCAGTGCACCTATGAACATTTCTAAGAGCACAGTCATATGTGAATTTCTTCAGCTGCTTACAAAAATGGAAATTAAGGATACAGAAATCCACTGCTTAACTTAAAAATCATACTTGCAACTGGCTAAAGAAAAAGTTGACTAAAGCTGAGTAACTTTAGGTAACTATGTGGGGAAAAAAAAAAACAGCTTTTTTCCAGGCTAGCTTAATTAGTTTGAACTAATATTTAATTAGTCAGTCATCAAAATATTTGAGTTTGACTCAAAAACTGAAGTGGTACTAGTTGCAAAACATTTGTGGGGCACACATAAAAATCTCACTTTGATAAACAGTGAGAATTTCTTCAGTTATGGTCATAGTAACTGTGCAATCAGACAGTGTTACTGAACAAGACGGCATTCAGAGATTCGGTGTTCAGGGTACTGTACTAGGTGCTAGGAAGGGCATAAGGGAAGCAGAAAGCATCAATGTGTACAGCTCAGATGTCACTCTTCCAAGCCCAAGACAGAAACCTCTAACCCTTACTTGGAGTATTCGATCTACGATTTGAAGGTGGCAAAGATGATGATCTCTGTGAAGCAGAATTAAACCTCTTTTGTCTTTGCTGGGCACCTTTCTCTGGGGACCGACTTGCATTGACTAAAGAGTCAGTTGGCCGAGGATTCACCAATTCTGTAACAGAAAAATGTAAAAAACAAAACAAACCTAGCTTCAGTTATCTGCCTTCATCAACAGATGGTTACACAAAGCAAGCAGTTCTTCTATCTAGATTATAATGATTATTTGCAAATGCACCACATTATAATGAAAACGCTTGATGAAGAAAAATGTGCGAGTTTTTAATGAATTCATTCTGGTTCTCTGTTTACAACTGGCATTCAAGGTGATTTTTCAAGAGAGTTTATTTTTAGAAAACAGGTCACTAATTTATTTACTAGGAGATACTGTTTAGGAAATGCAACGACGAAGATGTTAATGACGTGAATGGCAGGCCTGACCAAATAAGCGCCAGAGAAAGCACAAGTGCCCGGACTTGTGAAACACACTTCAAATGTTAAACACACTTCTTGGGCTTCCCTGGTGGCTCAGTGGTAAAGAATCTGCCTGCCAGTGCAGGAGACACAGGTTCAATCCCTGACCTGGGAAGATCCCACATGCTGTGGAGCAAATGAGCTTGAGCGCCTTAACTATTAAGGAGCTCTAACTACTGAGCCCACACACCGTCCAGCCTGTTCCCCACGAGCGCAGCCACGACAGAGAGTAGCCCCTGCTGGCTGCAGCTGGAAAAGAGCCCGTGCGGCAACTAAGACCCGGCATCGCCAAAAATAAACAGATAAAGTTATTTAAAAATAATAACAGACTGCTTGTCCTACTGACAGATGCTCAGTAAGCAAGAATGGGACCACAGGAAATGTTACATCTCACTTTATGAACTCAAAATGCCTGCTGTAACTTTCTGATTTGTGCAAGTAAGACAAACTGAGGTAGAAAGTTTCAAATACTCTTAAGAATGTCACAGAAATCTTTAATAACAGAAACTAATACGTCATTTACTTTGTATAAAAGTTATGTATGTAACGACAATGATACATTAACAACTAGTAGATTCAACTGTCTGAAATAGGGCTGAAGCAGCAGGAAAATAAATTTAACTTTTTATTACTTGAGGCATTTCATTTTAAGAAGGTATATAGTTGAGGGAGAAAGGGGAGGAGAGTTATGCATGCATCTGTATTTCTATCAGACAAGAAATAAAATACTTACTATTTGAGGCATCCTCTTTCTCTGTCTGTGTGCCCCGGTTTTTAAATACTTTTTCTTCATCAAGTTCTTTCAAAGCTTTCATGATTGGTGTGTCTAAAGTCTCTCTCTGCTTTTTTATCAATAAACTTGGTGAACTTCCAGGTGAAAGATCCTTTTCCAGAGAAGAATGGTACCTTCAATAGTAATTACAAGACACACAGTGCTATGACCTGAATATTTTCTGTCTCCCCAAAATTCTTATGTTGAATGAGATTCTTATGATGAATTCTTATTTTCAAGGCAATGGTGTATATGCGGGGGGTGGGGAGGTGGGGCCTTGAAGGTGATTAGGTTTTGATGATAACATGAGAGTGAAGCCCCTACGCTGGGGTTAATACCTTTATAAAAAGAGGAAGAGATATCTTGATCTCTCCCTCCACACATGCACCAAGGAGAGGCCACATGAGGACAGAATCAGGCCCAGCCATGCAGGCACCCTGATCTCAGACTGCCCACCTCCAGAGCTGTAGAAAGTAACCGTTTGTTGCTTAAGCCACTCAGTCAAGGGTAATCTGTTGTAACAGCCTGAACTAAGATGGTTTACTAAGATTATTACTAGACAAGAGGAATAACATGAGGGTTGACAGTTACACTCCACAATGAATAAGTATGTTTTTCTATACAAATCAATAAAACTGAACCTGTTATGTAAGGCGAGTGTTTCCCAATCCTTTTCAGAGCCCAGCGCATGTTGTTGTTAGTCACTAAGTCGTGTCTGTCTCTCTTGTGTAGCCTGTACACAAGAGAGACTGTGTGTAGCCCACCAGGCTCCTCTGTCTATGGGATTTCCCAGGCAAGAATACTGGAGTGGGTTGCCATGCCCTTCTCCAGGGCATCTTCCCGACCCAGGGATCAAACCAGCATCCCCTGCATTAGCAGGTGGGTTCTTCACCACTGGGCCACCACGGAGGCACTCAGAGAAATACAATATTTATATGGCACTCTGGAGGAAATGAATGAGGTTGCTTCTGGGGGCTCCGGTGATCCATAGGGTGAGGATCAACCTCGTGTCCTAACTGCAAGCCCATGCACAGGGCACATGGCTATCCCAGGGGCACAAGTGCAGAGGCTCTGAACCGCCTTTAAAAGGAAAATTTCCTAAAAGCACTAGCCTCTCAAAGTAAAAGAAAAATCAGATTCTCAAAATTAAGACAGGAACAAGGAGATGGCTCTTTATACCTTCCTGAACTTTGAAAGGCAACTGAAATCTGTAAGAAAACCTAAGAGTGCCTAAATGAGATCTTCGATGGGGCTGTCTCACCCAGGAAGGCAGGTGTCCTCCAGCTGGCTGTCCACCTTGGTGTCCAGGGGCTGCCCAGTGAAGATGGAATGCTCCGCTCCCGGGATCAGCCACTTCCTCCGACTGACGTCTGAGCCCGCCAGTGTGCTGCGAGGATGAGAAGTGTGCTCAGACGCTGCAAGGTCTGCGCTCTGCTTTAGACTGAGCACAGACAGCAAACAACCTGCTCTGAATTACCATTTCCACATTTACCCAGGGATTGAAAGACCGCATAGAACAATCTTATCATTGTAGCTAGATGAACTCTATTTTAAGGTTTTCAGCTCCAACTGAATTGCTCTTCTTGGTCTCGGAAGAACAAGAAGACAAATCTTCAACAAATCAATGCATAACTTAAAACAAAACATCTAGCTCACACCTAGAAAATTCATAATTTGTGAATGCCTTGAACTAAATCTAGACTCAAGCTTTAGTGCATTCACGTGCACCCAGCTCCGAACACCCCCACCCAGCCCCTCACCACACTTCACACCCTTTATGGCCCATCGGAGCTCAGGGCCAGGGAATGAAGGACGGTCCTGCCTCTCCCTCCTAGACCAGGAGGGCTCACAGAATTTCCTGAAAGACAGAAAAGGCCTTGCATCTGCACAGTCCAATACCGTAGCCATCAGCCACAAACACATAATACTCGTGGATGCTTGCCACAGAGCTAGATTTAAACAGCTCTGTGGAGAAGGGCCCTGTTGTACCAAACAGTGCCGTTCCAGACCAGGACGTTCCTGCCTCCGCTCCTGTGAAGCACAGCCTGTCCGAAGCGCATTTCACCATCCTCTGGTAGCTCCTGCCCTCATCCTGAGCACCCTCCCCATGCACACGGGAGCTGCTCCACGACCCGCCAACCATGCAACTCTCAGAGGATGCTCACTGGGCTTTATCACCCTAGAGAAGACAGTCCCCTCAGAAATCAAACCTCCAGGGACTTCTCTGGTGGTCCTGTGGCTAAGACTGCACACCCAATGCAGGGGCCCCAGGTTCGATCCCCGCTCAGGGAACTACATCCCACATGCTGCAACTGAGAGTGTGAATGCTGCAACTAAAAATCCCGCGTGCTGCAACTAAGATCTGGAGCAGCCAAATTTTTTTTTTTTTTTTATCACAACCATAGTGTATCTTTTTTTTTTTTTTTTTTTTACATGTATTCCCCATCCCGGTCCCCCCTCCCACCTCCCTCTCCACCCAATCCCTCTGGGTCTTCCCAGTGCACCAGGCCCGAGCACTTGTCTCATGCACCCAACCTGGGCTGGTGAACTGTTTCACCCTAGATAATATACGTGTTCCGATGCTGTTCTCTTGAAACATCCCACCCTCGCCTTCTCCCAGAGTCCACAAGTCTGTTCTATACATAGGAGTCTCTTTTTCTGTTTTGCACATAGGGTTATCGTTACCATCTTTCTAAATTCCATATATATGTGTTAGTATACTGTAATGGTCTTTATCTTTCTGGCTTACTTCGCTCTGTATAATGGGCTCCAGTTTCATCCATCTCATTAGAACTGATTCAAATGAATTCTTTTTAATGGCTGAGTAATATTCCATGGTGTATATGTACCACAGCTTCCTCATCCATTGGTCTGCTGATGGGCATCTAGGTTGCTTCCATGTCCTGGCTATTATAAACAGTGCTGCGATGAACATTGGGGTACACGTGTCTCTTTCAGATCTGGTTTCCTCGGTGTGTATGCCCAGAAGTGGGATTGCTGGGTCATATGGCAGTTCTATTTCCAGCTTTTTAAGAAATCTCCACACTGTTTTCCATAGTGGAGCAGCCAAATATTTTTTAAAAAAGGAAATCAAACCTTCAAGATCCTTCTGACTCCCATGCTCAAGCATCCACATGCACAACACTCTCACCACAAGGCCCGTGACCCTGGGCCTCCCCCCTTCCCTGGGCATATGGCTCCTCTTTACCACCGCCCCCCCCCCCCATCCAGGACACTCTCCTGCTGATCATTACTCATTGCCTGGAACCCCTTCTTTGCTCACTTTCCGGCACACCTGACTGGCAGCAAGACCTAAGCCTGGATGACTACAATAACCTCACTTTTCTTCGGTGTCTGTATTTTTACAGCTGAGCTTTGCGGGAAAGAAGCTGCCTGCCTGTGTAGACTGGGACATCATCAGAGAATCGCTATCTCAAGTGGACGCCCGACACTGGCTGCCAACACATCTTCCTTTAATCAAGGAGCTTCGATTCCCCAAATTCGACTATCTGACACCCTCTCCACTCTCCTCAAGCCCCTCGCCCCAGCCTGGACTGTCAGGTGATAACTGCCCATCACACTCCAGAGAAAAAACAGAAACCAGGAGAAAGGAACTCCTGTCTTCCTGCACCTTTTCACAACCAAACTTTTTTTTCAAAGGGTTGTCTCATCTATTTTCATTTCAGTCCCAGTCACTCCTCTTCCCCTCAGTTTTTAAATGAAGAATCATTTCAAACATTTTTAGAAAATTACAAAGAGTACCATAACAAGCACTCGCCCATAGTTTTTAACAAATGCTAACATCTTACCATATGTGTTTTTAATTTTAAGACATAAAAAACATATTTCTGGTTGTTTACATTTTAAAAATTACATAAAGGGCATAATGTACATATCCTTTTAATACTTTTTCTACTCAACATTCTGTATGAGACATACCCATGTTAACACATATATAAACCTCTACCATATTAACCATTTACCCACAGTATGACTGTATCACAAGTTATTTATCCTTTCCTCTGTTGGTGAATGTTTAGTTTTCAATGTACTCCCTTTTCAGCAATTCTATAATAAACATACATAAGAACTTGTCTAAGGTAAATATCTATTGTATGTGTGCTCAGGTGCATCTGACTCTTTGCAACCCCTTGGACTGCAGCTCACCAGGCTCCTCTGCCCATGAATTTTCCAGGCAAGACTACTGGGGTGGGTTGCCATTTCCTACTCCAAATACCTACTAGGTTGGTAAAAAAGTAATTGAGATTTTGCACTGTTGAACCCTGCTATTTGATACTGGAATACCTTATTAAATGTGGTTATGTTACACATAATTTTAATGTGCATTTATTTTTAATTACTTGCTGTTTATATTTATTTTAGACTATAGAAATGATGTTAGACAAAAAGCAAATTCAAGTGATTTTTTTTTTTAATTCAAATTCAAAATGGGTTGTAAAGCATCGGAGACAGCCTGCAACACCAACAATGCATTGGGTCCAGGAACTGCTAAGGAAAGTACAGTGCAGTGGTGATTCAAAAAGTCCTGCAAAGGAGACACGAGCCCTCAAGATGAGGAGCGCAGTGACTAGCCACTGGACGCTGACAACAACCAATTGAGAGCCATCATTGAAGCTGATCACCTTAGAACTACACAAGAAGTTGCCAAAGAACTCAATGCCGTAAGTGAAAGTGAAAGGGTTTCCCTGGTGGCTCAGCTGGTAAAGAATCTGCCTGCAGTGCAGGAGACCTGGGTTTGATCCCTGGGTTGGGAAGATCCCCTGGAGAAGAGAATGGCTTCTCACTCCGGTATTCTGGCCTGGAAAATTCCATGGTCTGTACAGTCCATGGGGTAGCAAAGAGTCAGACACAACTGAGCGATTTTTACTTTCACTGGCATTTGAAAGCAAATTGGAAAGGTGAAAAAACTCACTAAGTGAGTGCCTCATGAGCTCACCACAAATCAAAAAAATCGCCGTTTTGCAGTACCGCTTTCTCTTATTCTACACAACAATGAACCATTTCTCATAGGATTGTGACATGCAACAAAAAGTGGATTGTATACAACTGGTGATGACTAGCTCAGTGGATGGACCGAGGAGCAGCTCCAAAGCACTTCCCAAAGCCAAACGTGCACCAAGAAAAGGTCACAGCCACTGTGTAGTGGTCTGCTGTCCGCTTGATCCACTACAGCTTTCTGAATCCCAGTGAAACCACCATATCTGAGAAATATGCTCAGAAAATCGATGAGATACACCAAAAACTCAAAGCCTACAGCTGGTCCTGGTGAACAGAATACGCCCAATTCCTCTTCAAGACAACGCCCAACCACATGCAGCACAACCAACACTTCAAAAGTCGAACAAATTGGGCTACGAAGTTTGGCCTCATCCACCATATTCACCTGACATCTCGCCAACCAACTACCACTTCTTCAACCATCTCCACAACTTTTTGCAAGGAAAATGCTTCCACAACCAGCAGGAGGCAGAAAATGTTTTCCGAAAGTTTGATATATCCCAAGGCACAGATCTTTACGCTACAGGAATAAACAAACTTATTTCTCGTTGGCAAAAATATGTTGATTGTAATGGTCCCTGTTTTGATTAATAAAGATGTGTTTGAGCCTAGTTATAATGATTTATCTGGAGGAGGGCAGGGCAATCCACTCCAGTATCCTTGCCTAGAGAATCCTATGGACAGAGGAGTGTGGTGGGCTACAGTCCATAGGATCACAGAGAGTCGGACATGACTAAAGTGACTGAACACATAATGATTTAAAATTCACAGTCTAAAACTGCAATTACTTTGGTACCAATCTAATAACTAGCATCCTATTTCTTTTGCAACTAGTTTTTTGTTGTTGTTCCATATTATGTTAAGATTAAACCACGTTGAGTCTAGTTCAGGAGTGGGCAAATTTTTTCAGTAAAGAGACAGATAATAAATATTTTAGGTGTTATCAGCCACATAGACCCAGTCCCAGCTACTCACCTTTGCCACTGTAGGACAAAGCAGCTATAGACAGCACGTAAGTGAATAAACCTGGATGTGAGCCAATCAAACTTTATTTATGGACACTAAAAGCTGAATTTCATATAATTTTCACGTATCATGAAACTGTTCCCCGAAAAATTAAAAACAAAAACCATTCTTTGCTCACAAACCCTAAAGAAACAGGCCATAGGCCTGGATTTGGCCAGGGAGCTGTCGCTTGTCAACCCCCGATCTAGTCTGTATATGGTCACGCTGAGCAGTATTATGCATAAATGTATCACAATACACTGATATTACAGCTGTTAGATATCTAGGTTGTTTTCACTCGCTCTTCATTCAATACATTCCCAACTGGCTTCCGCTTCTATGGCTCTACATAAACTGCTCTCCAGGTCATCAGGAACCCCCAGCTTGCAAATGCAATGGACATTCAGTCTTTATCTCACCGGCTCTCATGGTGGCTGCTTCAGTCTTCCTCCTGTTTTTTAGCAGCTATTTCTCAGTTTCCTTTTCCAGCTCCTTCTCTACCCAAAACCAAAACACTGGGGCTCTTCAGAGCTCTGACCTGGACTCACTTCTCACTACACACACCCATCCATCCAATAACTTTAAGCGCTACTTACAAAGACACAACTCTAGTATTTATAACTCCGGTCTTCTTTCTGCACTCCAAATGCAAATTTATCATCCCCTGCTTGAGTTCCACTTGGAATTCACATGAATCTCACACTAAAATATTCAACATGAAAATTCTGATCTTTACTCCATGGTCTGCTCTTCCCATCTCTTCCCTGGTTCAATGTGACACCCTTAGCTGTTTAAGACAGAAACAAAGGTTTTACCTGGCCTTATCTGACACCTCCCTTTCTTACCCTCCATCCAACTCATAACCGTGTTCTGTGGCTTCTGCCTCCAGAATTTTCTCAAATCCATCCCCTCTACCCATTTCTGTGACCACAACTCATCTAATACCATCACTCTCCAAGTCCTTCAAGAGTCCAATTAGTCTGTCTTTTCCCTTCCTCATGGCAGGTTCACCGAACAAAATTATAAATCAGGTGACACAATTTTACTGTACAAAAAGCCCTTCAAAGGTGCCCCAATGGACTTAGAGTAAAACCCAAACCCTTGACCATTGCTTCGACAGTTACGTATGATGGGAACAGTAAGGCCACACAAGCCTCCTCTGGGTTCTTCAAACATAAAACTAAGCTCTCTCCTTCCTCAGGACTCAGCAAGACCACTGTCTCTGTCTGGAACACTCCTTCCCTTCCACACCTCTCTCCTGAACGACTCCACACACGTCTTACCTCTCTGCTTACGTGTCCCCTCCTCAGAAGGGCCTTTCCCCCCGGGCAAACCTTAGTCCTTCCTTTTTTCAATCTCAAACATCCAACTTCAGTTATTTACATATCTTTTTCTTTAAATAATCCATTATGTCCCACATAAGATTAATTAGTAAAAATTTAGAAAAAGTTTCTCCTTTGACAACTACAACTTAAAAAGGTTAACAACACAATGTAAAACTTTTCTGATAAAACATCAATATTAGGAAGTTATAATCTACTCTTTATTACTCTTTTTTTACATCAAAATCATAATGAAAAACAATTCAAATTATGAAAAAACTTACTCTGTAAATGTATCATCAAGATAATGTTCTTAGCTTATAACAAAGCTAATCTGGAAAAACTAAAAAGAAAAATTCACACAACCTAACGCAGATCCATCATCATAAGGTTTTCATTAACACAGGAATGAAATTTATGGAAGTTAAGAGCTACGGCAACTCACTCCAGTGAGTGATGAGCCTGATAGGCTACAGTCCATGGTATTGCAAAGAGTTAGACACGACTGAGCAATTGAGCCCAAGGGCTAACAGACGTTTAGAGATGTTGTAGTCCAACGTCCTTGTTTTTACAGATAAGAAGATTGAGCTCCAAAAAAATTAAGTGATTCATCTGAGGTCTTACAGCTGGGCAGAGTCAAAAACCAAAAACCATCCAAATTCTCCTCAGTCCCAATCTGCTTCTACTAATTCCTCCTTTTGGCAAATGCCTCTGCATAAGAGTTTTCATGATATCTAACAGTAAGGTGCTTTCACACATGAGATCTGTGGTGACATTTAACCCTGTCTTCCTCATGATGTAGACAGATTGAGTGTCTCAGCTCGGTTATAGGCTTTACCTACTACTGGCTTCACAGAGATAAAAGGAAGTAACTCACTTGGCATGTGAGGGCCTCCTGGGAGTTTCAGAGTTATGACGGAGACTTAGCATATTTTCACGCTCTACTTGCTTGACTTGAGCTTCAAGTTTTGAAACTGTCCTAATTCAAAAGCAGTAAGATGAATTAAGTACATTTCAACAAGCTTAAAATACAGCTCAGCTACAACTTACTTATTTAACAGACATTTCTAGGGAAGGGGTGACAAAAGAGACGAAAATCCACAAAACTTTTTCATGGTAAAATGTCACATTAAACTTTAAAACGCTGAACAAAATCAGGGAGAATAAACAGAAAGGCAGATAGAAAAAAATCCTACAAAGGAGCATTTCATATGCTGTAGCTAAAGGAAAAGGGAACAACAAATGCATTTAATACAGCAAGTAGAAAAAAAAATTTAGAAATTTGACTGTAGATAAAACAGTACAAATTAAATAAAAATAAAATTCAAGCAATCAAATAAATTGCAATTTGCAAATAAACTGCAAAAGGTGTTTAATTCTAACATGTACGTGATATGTACAAATACACATAGGTTAGGCTCTCACAAAAGAGGAAGCAAGCTTTCCATCCAGAGCAGACCTATTAACAAAAACTTGCTTTCTGAACAACTCTCAACTTACAGGCAGCTCATCTGATTTGTGCCATGTTCAGAATAACAGTTTATCTTCAAGTTCACCAACAGAAAATAAGTACTATGGCCAATTAATTATTTTGAGGCTTATCTTTGCATTCTTTCTGTTCTTTTAAAACTTTTGAATATGTCTTTATCTCATCTTTCAAATTTAGATTCTTACCTACTCTGCTGCAGGGAAGGTTTGAGAAAGAAAGCTCCAACAGGGCTAATTGTGTATACCAATCTGATAACAAAACTATCCCTAGAACTGAATGCCTCACAGAAAAGACTCGAGCAGACAAGAAAGCTACACAGTACTTCTGTTCTTTCCAATGAGAAGTCCTTAAGAGTATGGTAAAATCTCTAAATAAGGGACATCATTAATATCCAAACACAAAAATACACTCTGAAGCCAATTAGAAATATCTAATCATGGCCATAGGGACCATTTACACACTGTGCCTTACCTAATTAAGCAAATCAGATCATGAATACAGCCCCCAAACCTGGTCTTTAAGAAATATATAACCACAAAACTGGTGTGAATGCTGTTTTCTTTCTGGAGCATGAAAATAATTTAGTGAATTAGACTATGTCTTAAAATTATTTTCAATGATTTAATAGCAGTTAGGCTTTACCTATGCTAAGAAAATGCATAATGTTTAAGCACATGCACACCTTGTGGGCACAGCCACCAATGTGTTCTAATTATTTTAAAATCTTCGGCTAAAATCAAATGTATTTCCAGGTGAAGGGAAGCTGAGGATAAAATCTAATCTCAAAGTGCTTAAAAATTCTCAAGAAAGGGTTTTCTTTCCTATCATTTTCAATAAAGACACATATTTAAGGGCTGAAACAATTAGAGGTTTTTGCTTATTAGTAGGATAATAGATTTTACCTTTTCAAATCAGAAATCTGAGTATGTGCATCAAGCAATTTGTTCTCAGTTATATTTAATGTATCCTATGAAAAATAAAGAAAAAATTCAGATAACTGAAGACAAATATTTAGATGTATTCCTTTTAAGATGCATAATATAAAACTAATCTAAGACTACACCAAAAGAGAACTACAAAGAAAATTACACAGATACTCAGCAAGTCTGGCGTCAACCAGAGAAAATACACATAACACAAAGGAAAAAAAGAGACAGCAAACACTGGTTTAATCAAATAGCTGTGTGTAAGTCCCCTTTTTAATAAAAGTGAAGTAAAGTGAAGTCACTCAGTCATGTCTGACTCTTTGCGACCCCATGGACTGTAGCCTACCAGGCTCCTTCATTCATAGGATTTTCCAGGCAAGAATACTGGAGTGGGCTGCCATTTCCTTCTCCAGCGGATCTTCCAAACCCGGGTCTTCTGCGTTGCAGGCAGACGCTTTACCATCTGAGCCACCAGGGAAGCTCCATCCAAGTACTAACCAGGCCCAACCCCGCTTAGCTTCCGAGATCAGACGAGATCGGCCGTGTTCAGGGTGGTATGGCCGAAGACTCCCTTTTTAATAAATAAAGCCTATTATGCTTTGCTTGATTAGAAACAATCAGCGTCAAAATTAACATTTTTAAACACAAACTGACTGAAACCTCAGTAAATGGAAAAACTAAAACCTGTAATCATGAGATTTCAGCTGTAACGACTAGCCCCTGAAACCCAGACATCCTGGCTACCAAGCTGTGCTGGCCTTTTCACTAACCTTGGATAATCACAACCCTGCATTTTATGCAACCGAATTACGTGAAACTCACTTATATTGTGGACTTTCAGTGAATTAGAATATGTAGATCCCAAACAGAGTTTTAATTAAAAGAATTCAAACATAGGTTATTCAACCCCACAAAAAAATACTGTTTGGCAACACAAAACTTTAAATAGTATTAATTATGTGCATTTGTATGGTATTTTATACTCTTCTAAAAATTTCATCTCATCTCAAATGAAACAACCATTCAATAAATATTTTTTAAATTAACAAATTTAACAAACTTGTGAGTTCAAGGGCAGATATTTGAAAATAAGGATACTGACAAAGAGAGGATAAGTCTAGTTCAAATAACCAGATGGGCACAAAGGCGTGGAGAAAAAAGGGAGACAGATCTGCTGACTTCCAAACTGATGCATCTGCCCCACAGAAAGTTCAGAACATGAATCATTGACCATTACCTTTACTCTTTCGTGTTCTTTTCCAAGGGATTCATACTCTCCTAAAAGCTACAAGGAAAAAAAAAAGAATTGCATCACAAGATTAAATATTATAACATCAACGGAGTCTATGAAAATCTACAAAATCACTGCCCATACTCTTCAAAGATGCTAGTGTCATGAAAGGACAATGATAACACATTGTTTCATATTAAAGGCGACTAAAAAAATGAGAAACAAAAAAGGAAAAAAAAGAGATGAGTGAGGGAATTCCCTGGTAGTTCAGTGGTTAGGCCTCCCCCAAGCTGCACAGTGTGGCCAAAAGTAAACAGTCACATGTGGCTAGCAGCGATGCTAGAAGGCACAGTTCTATAAAATAGTCTGTGATCTTCAAAGAGCTTGAAGGTTATAAAAGAAAAACAAAAACTGAAGAACTGCTCCAGATTAAAGGAGATAAGAGAGATATGACAACTCAATGCAATGTGTAGTCTTGGATTAGATCCTGAACAAGGGAAAAGAGATCTGTTATCTCTTTTATCAAAAGCATAACTAACATTTTGATATAACTAACATTTATAGTGTAATTCACAAAAATTGAATGGAGTATATAAATTAGAGTACTGTACTGGAAAACATAGTTTTTTGAGGCAGAAGCCCAGTGTGTCTCCCTTTGCCTGCTACAGCTATCCTTTCCTACTTCACCCCCTCAAAAGATTACTGTACTAATTTCCTAATTTTGCTACAGTTATATAAAAGACTGTCTTTGTTCTTAAGAAATACACCTCGAAGTATTTAGAGATAAAGGTGCATTATATCTCTAACTTAGTCTCAAATAGTTTAGAAAAAAAATTTTTTTCAATCATTTAACTACATGTGGACAGAATGATAAAACACATAAGATGTTATTCAGAATCTAGGTGAAGGGTATATGAAAATTCTTTATACAATTTTTGCAACTGCCTGAAAGTCTGATGTTATGTTAAAATAAAAAGTACAAGAAATTTTAAAAACCAGGAGCTCCTATACTCACACACACTAAAATTATACTATCAATACACTAAATAAGAACAATAATAACCAAACAATATAAAGTTCTAATAAAATACAGCACATTGAACAGAGTGTTAATATGCACGCCCTCCTGAAACTTTACTAAAACAACTGTAAAAGAATAAAAAACATAGTGCTTGCTGACATGTTATGCTGAAAATGATACTTTACTTCTGTGATTTTCCTCCTAATAACCCCTAGTCTAATGATGAGAAAAACATCAGTCAACTCTCAAGGGACATCCTGCAAAACACCTGCCCAGTCCTCCTCCTCAAAACTGTCAAGGTCATGAAAAAGGAGGAACGTCTGAGAAACTGTCACAGCCAAGAGGAATCTATGGAGATGTGATGGCTAAATGTAACCTTATCTCCTGGAGGGAGTCCTGGAGCAGAAAAGGAACATTAGGAAGAAAACAAGGAAATCTAAATAAACTGTTGCATTTATTTAATAATAATGCATCAAAATGTTCATTAATTGTGGCCAAGGTACCCCCATATGCAAGATGCCAAAAAACAGGGGAAATGGTGTGGGGCGTATGGGGATACTCTACTGTTTCCTCAGTTTTTCTGTAATTCTAACTATTTTTAAAAAAATAAAACTTTTTTTCTAATGTAAAGTGGGGTTGTAACTATAAATGTTTTCAGATATGGAAGGCCTCAAAATCTGTCTCATGCTTCTTTTTCTCAGGAGATGTACACTAGCAAAACACAAGATGTAGAACCTACGCAAAATGACAGATGCAGTACAGAAAGGAAGGAGAGACAACTCCCAGGATGATGACAAAGGCAAGCCCTACAAATCTGTATATCAAACTTCAGAGCAATCAGTTCAAACTGAAGCAAGGATACTAGGGAGGCAGGCAAGGGGAATGGAAGTGCTATGTATGTTTAAAAAAAAAAACAACTAAGCAGATTAAAAATAAGGCAATTAGTAAACTGAGGAAAAATATAATTAAAGTTGTAAGAGAAAGGAAATAAAATCACTGAACACTGCAGCTTAGCTCTGAAAAATATTTACATGGAAATAATACTGAATTCTAATCCACCTATAAATAATATATTGTATTTAAAATCTAAGATACCACTGATCAGAAATCATACTATTTAACCACTGATCAGGAATCATACTATTTAATATTATTTACTAAAGTACTAAGAGGGGGCTTCCCTGATGGTCCAGTGGTTAAGAATCTGCCTTGCAATTCAGGGAACACCGGTTCAATTCCTGGTCCAGGAAGATCCCACATGCCACGTGGCAGCTAAGCCTGAATGCCACAACTACGGAGCCTGCACTCTGGAGCCCAAGAGCTGCAACTGTTAAACTCTGCACGATGCCAGAAGAGAAGCCACCGCAATGAGATGCCCATGCACCACAAGTAGAGAGTAGCCCTCTCTCTCCACAACTATAGAAAGCCCACGCAGCAGTGAAGACCCAGAACAGTCACAAAATGCTAAGAGGAAAAAACGCTGCCAATTAAAATAAGACATTATAGTGTAAAAATGTGTTCCAATTTCAGAGTTGTTCAAATGTAAACAATAAGCTTCTTAGAATCAATTTAATCTACTGCAAAGAGGGGGACAAGTGTTTTGGAGCCAATGGTGTAAGAAAGCTGAACTGTAGTGATATTGCACAGAAGGAAGTCAATGTATAATGTCTGAGACTGACAGGTAAAAGAAAAGATTAATGTAAGTTTATTATTTAGAAACAGGGAGCAAAATTTTAGAAGAAATAACTAAAACAGCTGAAAATAACAACCTCTAGGATAGAGGAATACAAGTTAGGAAGAGGTAGAGAAGACTGATGTTTCTCACTTGAAATTTGACCATTTAAACCATTTACATGTATTATCTTCATGAAAACAAATGTTAAAAAACAAAGCAGCAAGAATCAAATCTAAAGCTACCAGAAAGAAAATTTCAACAGCCGGAAATACTTCCAGATTTTTTATGTACTGTAACAAAAATATTAATAAAAACTTAAACCGAAAAAACCTGAAACTTAATCCATCTTTAATGTGATACAATTCTAAATTTTAAGTGAAATTAAATCAAAATGAAAAACTCTATCAAGCCTCTTCTAAATCTGGTTCATTTTACCTTCCTGACACACAGATGTTGATTTAAGACCACTCAAAAGCTGCCCTGCTAGAGACTGAAAGGCGTGGGAGTGACACCATAGTTCTGAAAGCCCTGACTTCCTGTTTCAAGATAAGACCCAACCGACTCGACCAGAAAGGTATACGGATATTTGCAGCTACAGCAAAGTCATGTAAAGTGAAAACAAACGTGAAAAATGTCATAACAGCTTGTAAGACTACAAAACCTGAACCTACTTTTAGCCAACCACAGAACTGAGTTATCGTTACTTGTCACTTACATCTTGAAACATTTTGTGTTCTCGTTTTAGTCTTGCTTCTTTATCATCTGAGAGTTTGTAAGCATTCTCAAATGCCTCTTCCAAATCCTGAAGTCTAGATTTCAGGCGAATAATGGTATTATCTTTTTCCTTATTACTTGTTCTCATTTCTTCAATTCGTTCCTGCAGAATTTTGGAGGCACTGCTGGCTGCGTTGAAGCGTTCTCTGAAATCACTCTACAAAACAAAGACAAGGATAATACGTTGTTTTCAAGAATAATAAGTTTTTAAAAAACAGAGGTCTCAACAGCAGCTAATAAAACTGTGGACATTAAAATATAAAAACATATAAACGGAAATGAACGCATTTGATATTGTTATATCCTAGGAATGGAGACTAGAAAGGATTACCCTACAGAACAATACACAGAAAACCACAGAGGCATTCTGATTCCAGGACTCACCTATAGACCACTTTAAAGAAGAAAAAAATCACCATGACTATCAAGAAACTGATTCTGAGAGCAAAACTGGAATTTTTTGCCTCACATTAATATTCATGGAGGGAAAAAAGCATCTCTTACCATATTGTCTCATAATGAAAATAAAATTCAAAATGCATCTAATCTGTTAATATTCATTCAACAATCATTAATTGCAAATCCACCAGGCACCAGGTTACTAGGGTGCTAGAAATGTAAGATTAACAGAAACGTCCCTGACTTCATGAAGTTTATAGTTTAGGAGGTGCATGCATGTGTGTGCATGCTCAGTCACTCAGTTGTGTATGACTCTGTGACCCTATAGATTATAGCCGCCAGGTTCCTCTGTCCATGGGATTTTCCAGGCAAGAATACTGAAGTGGGTTGCCATTTCCTCCTCCGGGGATCTTCCTGACCCAGGGGATCGAACCCACATCTCCTGCATTGGCAGGCAAATTCCTTACCACTGAGCCAAATGGGAAGCCACAGTTTAGGGGGAGACAAAGGTAACTAAATAAACATCAAAGACACAGAAATAATGTCTAGAATATAACTGGCATTTTCCAGCAAACATTGTTTGTAAAATTACACACAGAAGAGTAAAACTTGGCAGGGCATGGGGAAAAAACAAGTCATTTAAGAGGAAAAGGTTGAGCACTCCTACTTACATATCTAAGAAAACTGAAAATCTGTCCATATAAAATCTTGTATACACATGTTCACAGCACTATCATTTATAACAGCCAAAAAGCGAAAACAACCCACTTATCATCTGATGGGTAGATAGATAAAATGCAGCGTAGCCACACCAGAGTACTACTCAACTATGAAAGAGTGATATGCTGGCCCACGCTACCCTATGGATAACCTTGAAAACCTGATGCTAAGTGAAAGCAGCCAGACACACAAGGTCACATATGCTGTGATTCCATCTACACCAAATACCCAGAATAGGTAAACTCACAGAAACAGAAAGCAGAGCAGTGGCTGCTTATAGCTGAAAAGAGTGTGTATGTGAATGGCGGGGATGGCTAAAGGGGTTTGGGATTTCTTTTTAAGGCAGAAAAAACTTACAAAATTAATTATGGTGATAGTTGCATAAATTTGTGAGTATACTAAAAACCACTGAATTGTACACTTTGAAAGCATGAGTTTTATAATGTCCAAATTATATCCCAATTAAAAAATAAAATTTTTAAAGGGTAAAATATGTAGTTATCATATGAAGCCAGTAGCATTCAAAACAGAATCTTTTTTTTTTTTTTTTTCTACAACGTTAGGCAAAGTACTTTTATTAAAATGTTTGTTATCAGAACCCCTTCCATGTACCTGTACACACACACCCCGGACTGAGTGAAACAAAACAGAATCTTAACAAGAAATCCTAAAGGAGAAGACAAGCAACATATAATGCTTTTATAAAAATATTCATTTGTCTCTAAAGTTAAATTAATAAAAAAGCTTACATTTTTAAACATTTAGTCACTAGAACAGCAACAAAAAATACCATACTTACTTACCACTTCTCTTTCCAGTAAATTATTCTTATTTTCAAGTGTTCTCACACAACTAGTAGCTTCATTCAGAGCACTCTCTAACTGGCCACATCTAAAACAACACATTGAAACAAAACAATCAAAAGCAATATCCTTTCTCTTAAAAGTGTTATAAAAATCTGATTCTCTAATATATTACATAAAACAAATTTTCCAATGTTAGCCAATACTAAGGATGCCATTTTAGTAAAATATATCCCAATGAACCTGATATTATAGCAGTCAGGGAATATTAATAATGATATGAAAAAATCTCTAAGAATTATTAGGTGAAAAAAGCAAGCTATGAGCAGGTTTTTGTATATTCAGATTCACAGCAGCATAATTCACAATAGCCAAAAGATGGAAGCAATTTAAGTGTCCACCAAGGGATGAATGGATATAAACAAAAGGCTGTGTGTGTGTTTGTGTATATACATGCAATGGAGTATTATTCAGGCTTAAAAAGGAAGGAAAACTCTGACACATGCTAGAACAAGGATGAACCTCAAGGACACGGTATGCTAAGTGAAATAAACCAGACACGAAAGGACAAAAACTGTGATTCCATTTATACAAGGTACCCAGAAGCATCAAATTAATAGAGACAAAGGAGAAGGATGGTTGCTGGGGCTGGAGGGAGGGGGTCATGGGAAGATATTGTTTAATGAGTACAGACTGACAGATTTGCAGGCTAAAACAAATTCTGGCAATGGACACTGGTGATGGTAGCACAACAACGGGAAGGCTCAAAGCCAGGGAACTGTACACTTAACATGCAACATATAGATGACTGCATAAAACAGCTTGATCTTTGCCATGAAAAAAACTTATATATGCATATACATTTTGATTTCTAAAAGGATGCAAAAAATTAAGTCTAGGATGTGAGCACAGAAGATGGGGTAGAAAAACTTCATATTATATCCTTCTATATTATTTCAAATTAGCATGAATGTCATTATTCTTATAATGAAGGACATTCTTTGTAAAGCTAATCATAGGACCTGAAAATAACAAAATACACCGAAGAATTCAGTTACCATTTTGACTCAGTGTTTAATGATGTATTGTGAATAACAGCTAGTATTTATTGGGTACTGGCTACATACTCAGTCTATGTTAAGCACTTTGCATTCATCCGCACAATCCTGTGAGTCAGGCTTGCCATCATTCCCACTTTACAAATGTGAATACAGAGACAGAGAAGTCAAGTTCCTCCTGAGCCACACTAGGATTCCGAGCAAAGCAGTCTGGCTCCAGAGTTCAGGTTCCTATCCACTATGCATCGATAACCTCAGATATGCAGATGACACCACCCTAAGTGACAGAAAGCAAAGACAAACTAAAGAGCTTCTTTTGTTTTTTTTTTTAAAAAAAAGAGCCCCTTGATGAAGGTGAAAGAGGAGAGTGAAAAAGCTGGCTTAAAACTCAACATTAAAAGAACGAAGATTGTGGCATCCAGTCCCATTACTTCATGGCACATAGATGGGGAAACAATGGAGACAGTGACAGACTTTATTTTCTTGGGCTCCAAAATCACTGCAGACGGTGACTGCAGGCATGAAATAAAAAGATGCTTGCTCCTTGGAAGAAAAGCTATGACAAACCTAGAAAACCTATTAAAAAGCAAAGACATTACTTTGCCAACAAATGCCCATCTAGTCAAGTCTACTGTGGTTTTTCCAGTAGTCATAGGAGTTGGACCATAAAGCAGGCTGAGGGCCAAGAATGGATGCTTTTGAACTGTGGAGTTGGATAAGACAGCAAGGAGATCAAACCAGTCATTCCTAAAGGAAATAAATCCTGAATATTCATTGGAAGGACTGATGCTGAAGCTGAAACTCCAATACTTTGGCCACCTGATACGAAGAGCTGACTCACTGGAAAAGACCTTGATGCAGGGAAAAACTGAGGCAGGAAGACAAGGGGATGACAGAGGACGAGATGGTTGGATGGCATCACTGACTCAATGGACATGAATCTGAGCAAACTCCAGGAGACAGTGAAGGACAGGGAAGCCTGGCGTGCTGCGGTCCATGGGGTCGCAAAGAGTCAACACAACTGAGCGATGGAACAACAAAAGCATCAAAGCGTTGCAGAAATGAAATGCTGATAAAACTTTGATGCAACAGTCAAATAATAATACAGTTCACTGAACAGTCAACTGTAGGTGTGCTGTTATTTTTCTCTTTTAATTACCACACTGATTCTGGTATGCCAAAGATCTCACTCCCTAAGTTACAACTGTGTGACAAGTGTTAATGGCCCCAACTGGAGCTCCCAATTTGCAATTTTAAAGTTTGAAAAAAACTGCTGCGTATACTGCCAACATAATTATTAGTTTTTGTCTAAGGTAAATGATTTCTCTCTAAATAACTTCAGGCCAAACCAAATCCTTTGGGGGTAGTGAAAGGGGACAAAAATGCGTTGCTCTTCATTTGCATGTTACAGGCACACTGACTCCAGTGCTGCAGACCGCTGTTGTTATTAACAGTTTCATTTATGTAAGACACTGACTTCCAGTCTGCTCCTCCATTCTCTCATGACTCTGAGGGGTTCCAGACATAAAAATATTTTAACCAGTTCCCCTTTACTTTGTGCCTTCTTTGGCACCTTTTCTTTGACCTAATAAGACCTACTGGTCCCTTCTGTCAGGCTTCTTATTTCCAACAGGAAGTACCTGTGGTCATCTGTGCCTTGGTTAAAACAAAACAAACCAAACCAAACCAAACCAAGAACCAACTTCCCTAGCCTATCTACTCTTTTCTTTTCCTCCTAGAAAACCTAAAACTAGCTTTTATTTTTTCCTTGCTCTTTTCAAACTACTTCTCTCTGCCACTGGACCCCATCCCCACCAACAGCAAAATGGAAGCAACAGAAATGACCAGGATGGATTAAGACAGCATGTTAACCACCACAGCAACCACACACAGGTATAAAAGCTAGTTTTACTCAAATTCTGCAAGTCAGACTGCTAACTGGACCGGAAGATTTCAGCTCCCTCATAATTATTCTCAAGGCGGTTTGTCTTCTTTGCCCTAAAGAAGGATTATTTGCTGTCATCTAGACCCTATCAGTTTTCTTTCTTTTTTGAAAAATAATTTTATTTATTTGTTTTTGGCTGTGCTGGGTCTTTGTTGCTGTGTGGGTTTTCCTCTAGTTATGACAAGCAGGAGCTCTATGCACAAGGACTTCAGTAGCTGCGGCTCCCAGGCTCCAGAGCACAGGATCAATAGCTGTGGCACAAGGGCTTGTGGCTCTGTTGCTCCTCAGCATGCGGGATCTTCCTGGATCAGGGACTGTTCCTGCTGTCTTCTGCACTGGCAGGTGGGTTCTTTACCACTGAGCCACCAGGGAAGCCACCCTTCAGTTTCCAGTCGGTTTAACTTCATTTGTAAAGTATGTTGCAAGGTATGCTGTTATTAATACTAGTATCTCTAAACTAAGGGGAATGCTGTTCTTAATATAAGAGCATGCTCCTGTGTGCTTACGGTTTTTTAAAATGAGATAATTATTTCCACAGGTGCATGAGTGGCTAGGTTAAAGCTATGCATATCTGGGTAAGAAAAAAGGACATCAAACACAGACTTATCAGGAAATAAGTATACAGGACAAAATGACATTCCTTTACATATACAAAATCTACTCAACTGTCTCAGTACTTTGCCCATATGAAACAAATGTCCTCATCAATTGTCAGTAAGTTTTATAAGAGGATGGCTCAAATCTTTAAAAATAGGCAAACATGTTTCTCTGAAAAATTTCAAATTGAAATTATGTGCTTTCAAAGTGTTTTATCATCACAATATATTATGCTTTGGGCAAAATAATATATCCAAATAGGAGAAACACTAACTTTACAGTTAAATTACAAGTTTTACCTGTCTACAAGAATTTGATTGGTTTTCTTCCAGTCTTCAGCTGCAGAAATTTCTTTTTCCTCCAGTTTCTGTTTCAAACTATTTATTTCTGATTCATAGTAAGCTCGAAGGTCTGCTATGTGTCGAGCATGCTTTTCCTTCAGGTTCTGCCTAATCCTGTTGGTGAGAGGAGAAAATATTTAGAAAGCATCTCCTCACTCTCTCAATAGGAAAAAACAAGAACACAATCATTCTCATAATCAAAAATACAGCCTTTTCTCTTTATACACCTATGGAAAATATGAGGCTAATCCACAAGTTGACAGCTATTAATAATAAAACAAAGATTATTTTTTAGACAGTCTACCTTAATTATTTTAATTTTTATGTATTACTGAAGTTCAATAAAAACAATTTTCATCATTTAAGCAGGCATTAGAGAACATCTATTAACATTACCAGCCATTCCTAGAAGTACATACTTAGACAATACCACAGGATCCTCCAGGGAAGTCAGTGAAATGCATTCTGGGACTCCATTGGCTGTACCTGGAAGCTGGGACTGACTGACTGAGACAGGCGGTCCCAGGACAGGATTTTCTTCATCTACAGTGCTGACTGAGATGTCGTTACTACCAACTGTATATACTGAAGGAAATGTGGAACTGGTCCTACTCTCATTTCGGAATGCATGATTTTTCCAAGATTCCACTGGCGAAATTTTTGCATCTATAGGATATTTTGGGAAACCAGATAACTGAGAAGTGATATGACTTGCTTGTGAAAACAAGTCTATGTCAGAGTGACTAGAGAGACTAGGTTCTAGAACAGAGTCCGGTGAAAAGGATAGTCTGTCATCAAGAGCATTCAAAAAGCCATGTGGTTGAATCCCTGAAATCTGATTTGGCTTCACGTGTAACGTTGGGTCCAGAGTCAATACCTAGAAATAAGACAGAGAACAGTAAGCTTTCGCTCTCTCCATGCGGGTTTTTTCGTTTGTTTAAGTGAGTAGGCTTTAGATCTCCTAGGGGAAAGAAGCTCAAGATGAGAGTTAAAGTCATGAAGCATCTTTTATTTTCACTCAGCAGTGCTGACAACTTTACCTCTGGCGGATGATTTGGGTTGGAAGCAGAAGTGAGATTCCTCTCAGGTAACTGCTTGTTTTCCCTTTGTTTTCTATGATAAATATCCTTCAATGATGGTGGCTTCATCTCATTACTAGTATTAGACTTAAAGATATGAAACAAAATTATTCAAATATTATCAACGAATCAATGATGAAAAAAGTTTACTTTCCTGATATCAAGATCAGCACCATAAAAAGGTTTTTTAAAAAATTTAAAATAAACCAAGATGCTAGACCATCAGATTTATAATAAGAGTTTGGAGGTCATTCCCCAGTACCTGTTACCTCAGGAAAAAAATTTCATCTTTTCTAACCATAAATATTAACGGGATAATTTAAACCTAAGGTATTTAAAGCCCTAAGAACACTTTCAAAGAATAAAATCCGTGGTAATCTCCTTACTTAAAATAAGAAACAAGTTCTGAAGAAAAGACTTCATAATGAGTGAATGAAGCGGGACAAGAAAACTTCCAGCCAGATTAATTTCCTGTGACTTGAAGTGACAGGTGTCAAGAGTGAGTTGCCTAGCTCTGTAGTTACATTCATATTTAAGAGTTAGCAGTCCCTGGTGCCTCAGATGGTAAAGAATCCACCTGCAATGTGGGAAACCTGGGTTTGATCCCTGAGTTGGGAAGACCCCCTGGAGGAGGGCATGGCAACCCACTCCAGTATTCTTGCCTGGAGAAATCTCCATGGACAGAGGAGCCTGGCGGGTTACAGTCCACGGGGTCGCAAAGAGTCAGACACAACTGAGTGACTAAGCACAGCACATCACAGACAAGAAGTGTGAAGAAAGAAGTTACCCAAGGAAAATAAGGCCTCCTTTAAATTAGTTATAAAAATAAGAAGATACAATCCTAACTTCCACAACAGAAATCAGGGCTTTGCTACACTGGAAGTGTTACAAAGAGGCCTCAGCTCCAAATAGTAACTCACCAGGCCTAACCTATCTTAAGATGGGTCTTACTGTAGGTCATGACAAGGTACCATCTAACTCTGGGCCTCAAATTTAAACTTTGGACATTCTCTCAAATGATATTACAGATTCAGTGAGAGATACATTGAAAGCACTGAAAGAACACATTTGTCATACAGCTTTAAACTTCTGAACTGTCCCATTTCCAGATACTACAAAGACTGCAGAGCACCATGAATTAATATTTTTTAATAAACCCTTAACTAACTTGTGAAAAAGACAATTATACTTTGTGTGTGTGCATTAAAGGCATTAATTTGTTAAATGTAAACTTTTAAAATTAACGATTTCTATAACCCCACTTTGAAATTTTACTTTTATATACCTATAACCTAGAAGCCTTTTCAAGTGCTGAAGCTCACGCTGAGCAGCAGTTCTTCGGCTCTGGCTATAGCCTGAGGAATCCTACCGGGGGCGGGGGGCCTGGGTGAAGAGTTACAACTATTCTATTTAGAGATCATAGTAATACAAAGTGACTCTTTTCACCTTGGAATGGGTGAAGGGATGGATGGACAGAGAGATAGGTGAATGAATGAATGGATCAAAAACGGCAGATTAGAGAAACACTCGGAAAGGAGCCCTATCTTGGGGCCTCCCTGGTGGCTCAGTGGTAAAGAATCTGCCTGTCGATGCAGGAGATGCAGGAGACATGGGCTCGATCCCTGGGTTGGGAAGATCCTCTCAAAAAGGAAATGGCAACCCGCTCCAGTATTCTTGTCTGGGAAACAACTCCATGGACAGAGGAGCCATGGGCTGCAGTTCATGGGGTCACAAAGAGTCAGACATGACTGAGCACACACAGCCCTGTATGAGGGACTGCTTCTTTTTTTGCCATGCCACAAGGCTTGTGGGATCTTAGTTCCCCAACCAGGCACTGAACTCCCATCATATCTTAACATTCTGAACAGAGGATGCCTCTTATAATTAATGGTATCCTTCAAATGCCTTTGGTCAAGTAGTAGCTGTGACACAGTTGTCACTGGCTCCTCATATACAAATAAAAAAGCCATCAAAACTGGCCAAAGGGTGTCAGCAGCTTGGAAGAAAATCCTAGTGGCTTGAACCTGTGCTGGAATCCCTGAGAACCAATATTTAAGGGACAGTGAATCAGCTGCTTAAGCAACATTCCCCATCTGAGGGTCAAATACAGGTCAGTTATACATAACTACTAAGTCAGGTAAAAACTCACCCCCAAGGTTCATTCTCTTTTAAAGAAATGTAGTCACCAATGCTCTTGGTGGCCCAAGGGAAATGGAGTATGGGAAACACAGAAACCATCACTGACTTAAGAGAAGAGTGTGAAGAGTTAAGCCCCTGAAGGTAAAGACGTTTCAACCAATTTACTTCACTTATATTTTTCATTAAGTATGTATGAGAAATAGATGACAAAAATATGTTTAAGTCTATAAAACATAAATTCTAAGTGATAAGAAAGCACTGCAGCAGTCTAATTGATCAATTTTTTTTTCTTGGTAGAATAGGAAGCAGGAAGTCTTAAAACTGATGGGAACTTTATATTTTGAGTCAACAAAACTTCATTTACAGATGCTGCAGATCAAGAAAACACACACAGTGAGCCTATAATTGAAAAGCCCACTGAGTCTCCCAGACGCCTCAATCTCACTTCCCCAGCCCTTCCTTCTTTGTGTTTATCTGTCTCTCTTCCTCCTTTCCTGAAGGATGGAGTGCCGGTTTCCACCCTCCCTGAGACTCAGATGTCCACCAGTCTTCTGGTCCCATGTTGTCCTGTCCATCTACGCCTGTCACTTGTGTTTACAGCTCTCCTGGTTACTTTAATCATCTCTCTCCTTTCCTCCAACCCATTTTCTCATCCCCTGATCTAAGCACAGAAGACAGAGTTATATATATCGATATACATCGATATACACATACTGGATATTTTCATTTCTTTGCTCTGAAGTCAATAAAGTATTTACATTCCTTGCTCAAAGAAAATCAATACAGTAACTTAATTATGACAAAATGGATCAGTGGGAGGTTATAACAGTAGAAAATCAAAATCAGGGAATGGGAAAAGAAGTTTATCTGTGTACTTACTACATTTAAAACAGTGGACACAAAACCATGTCATTTAATTTCATATGACACTGGGCATTTTTTATTTCATTTTAAAATAATTTTCACACAAGTAATGAATGCTAGAGACCAAATTTGAAAGCAGGCGGGTATGATTTAAAGCCCATGCCTTTTTTCTGTATATCAGAAATAGAAAAACACAAAATTTATAAATAAAACAGTATACAATTGTGTAACACAAATAAACATGTGCATCACATATTACGAAATTACCTGGCTTGGTGATATATCCGTGGAGGAGGCTGGTGCAAATGTCTTCTCTAAAGTCTCAGGCAAAGAGTGATACATGTCCTTCTCCTCCAGTTTCCAGTAAGTCAGTCCTAATGTGAAAAAATACACAGAATAGATAAGGGTGAGGAAAAAGAATAATAGTGCTTTCTAGAAGAACTTATTTCTACCTAAAGAAAATTAAATATGGGAGGTTTTGGCTACCTGGATACAGAAAATTGAATTTACAAGGGAAAAAAATTCACTTAAGTGTCTTGCCATGTAGGAGTCCTAACTTAATGATTCAAATATTTTAAACTGAACTATAAAATAAATATTTAAGACTTTTTGATGTGGACCATTTTTAAAGTCTTTATTGGTTATAATATTATTTGTTTTATGTTTGGTTTTTTGGACATGAGACATGTGTGATTAGTTCCCTGACCAGCGATCAAACCTGCACTCCCTGTGTTGGAAGGTGAAGTCTGAACAGCTGGATGGCCAGGCAAGTCCCTAAAATAAATATATTTTTTAAAAAGACAACAATTTCTTTATGCAAAGTACAGACTTACACAGGAGCAATGTAAAGAACTCAATGTTTCAAATGCTTATTGAGCATTTACTATGCCAGCTGTGGGGAGGAAGCAAAAAGACTACAGTATATACAGTATGTCAGAAGATGGCCAGCACGCTCCTCTGGTAAAACTTAAAAACTGGACATGAGGGAGGATGCAGTGTGTGTAGAAGGGAGGACAGGTGCTCTTACTGAACAGGATGGTTGAGGCTGGCCGTGTTAGCCATGTATGAGAAGGTTCCCCCCATAAGGAGTGGGGAGAACATTCCACGTACAGGAAGCAGCTGAACAAAAGCCCTAAAACGAGAACTCATCTGATACATTTGAGCAAAGAGCCTCCCTGCTAAATCAGAGAAAGGGGGAGACTAGCAGACACTGAGGTCCAACAGCAGGGCGAGATGATGAGGGCACACTCCGGGCTCTCATTCTGCACACAGCAGACCCACTGCAGGGTTTATGCAGAGGTGTCAAGTGATCGGACCGCTCTTTACAAAGGATCGCACTGGCTACAGTGCTGAAAACAGATGGAAGGTGCAAGGTGAAGGCAGGGAGGCTGGTCAGGAGGCTCATGGGAACCCAGAGGGCAGGTGATGAGGCTCTGTGAAGGATGAGAGCAGGGAGGTGGTGACAGTCGCTCGAGTCTGGCAACTTTCACAGGCAAAGCTGATTCATCCTGAATTGGATGTGGGATAGTGGAAAAAGGAGGTAGTGTGCAAAGCCATTAAGACTAAAATAAGTTCACCATGGAGAATACAGAATTGCTCACAGGGGGGTTGAATTTCTTAATTCACTTTGGATATCCAAAAAAACAGAGATGATTGTTGTAGCCATTTGAAATAACTGTAAAAAAACAAAACAAAACACTTCTATCTTTTCAAAACTTGTAGCACAAATTAACGCAAGTGAGGAAGTTACAGATGCAGAGACATAAGACAACACACAAGACATCTTAGAAACCCCTTTAGTATACAGTACAGGATTATCACCCTAGGAGAAATGCACACATTACTATTTTGAAAAAACTTAAAAATTTAAGTATTGGGACTTCCCAGGTGGTTCAGTGGTTAGGACTCCATGCTTCCACTGCAGGGGGCACAGATTCTATCCCTGATTGGGGAACAACGATCCCTCGTGACAAGGGGTAAGGCCAGAAAACAAAAACAAAACAAGTATCATACCTGTTCCTGATTCAGACATCCAAGAATTTGGACCCTCATCTGGTTTGTTGAAGTAAAAAACTCGAGAATGTGTATCAGCAGTGAAATCAGACTACAAATCAAGAAAGAAAGCCATCAGTTGACAGTTTAAAATCTCTAGGCACAAACTGCTGACCCAAGGAATATGAGCCAGGTGTCAAACCCAGGCATAGAGAAACTTTCAGAGGTTCACAAAGAAAGTCAGCCTGGCTTTCCCCATGGTTCCAATAATTGCAAAATGATAGGAATTAACAGTGAAAGATTTTCTATTCCTGTGTAATTTACAAACATTTATTTTGATTCTCTGTGGAGCTGAAAGAAGAAACAGGAAGTAGGTGTGAGAAAGAGTTCAGAATGAAAACAGATTCCTAATTTGCCATCGATTTCCAAAAGAAATTTCAAGTGCCTAGAATTACAGTCATTTAGTACCAAAATTAATGTAAAAGCCATAATAATTCATTTTTATCAGTAAGACTGCAATAAATCAACTCTGAAAACTGCACATAAATAACTAACATGAACTCTCAACAGCAGACTATACCTTAGATACAAATAATTGGTTACCAGAAAAGGTTAAAAATGCTTACTTATCCTCAATTCTAATTAAAAGCTCTGAGTTAAGATTTCCTTACAATATCTCTGGCATTGTCACAAGAAATCTGTGTTTCCAAATGAGATATGTGAAAAGATTATTTTCATTGGAATTTTTCTTATCCAAACTTTCAATTTCAATTTAAGAAGTACATAGCTCTATTTGCTTACAAGCACCTGTGGACCTACTGCCAAAGTAAAAGTATGCTAAAGCTGCTGACATTCTCCCTACCAAGAAGGGGATCTCTGCTCAGCCTTGTTTTTCTAGCCTCCTTAGATTCCCAGGTGAAGCCAATGGTAAAGAATCTGCCTGTCAATTCAGGAGACATAAGAGACACGGGTTCGATCCCTGGGTTGGGAAGATCCCCTGGAGGAAGGCATGGCAACCCACTCCAGTATTCTTGCCTAGAGAATCCCACAGACAGAGGAGCCTGGTGGGCTACAGTCCATGGGGTTGCAAAGAGTCGGACACGACTGAGCATGCATGCACAGCTTTCTAAGGCACCACTTTTAACCTCTTTTTCATCAAATGTCTCTTCTACAACTCCTATCTGTTTGAATTTCTGTCGCATATCTGAACTCAACTGACCAGAAAAAGCTGACTGCAGAAGACTAAGTAAAAAATCCCCAGTGAAATATTTTGTTTTGCGTCAGTTCTGAGGTGCAAATCCTAAAGTGATGAGCCAACGCTCACTGCACTGGCCGGAAGGGGTTTACCTCACATAATCCTCTGCTGCTCTTCCAGCCCCTAAGGCGTTGGCTGAAGAAAACAGCCCATTTTTAAAGAGAAAGGAAAGTATGGTGCAAGGATAGCCCTTCCCAGGAAACCAGCCTCAGCCTAGCACAGGACTTTCATCAGTAACCGTCTAAAGCACCTGAAAAACCACCGCGGGGACCACAGCTGGAAAAATGCTAACAGCCAGTGTGTCCCAAAGGACCAAGGAGACAAAGACCCGCTGGAACTTTAGAAAATCCCTGTGCTAAACGCTATCCAATTTCAAGATGGGCTTCAGAATAGCTAGACCCCCAAATAAATTATACTGTATTAGAAGAAAACTGGATCCCAAGAGAATTCTGATCATAAAGATTCCCTGGATTTAGGCTGAAAATGAAAAGAAAAAAAAAAAGAAAAACGAGATGAGAAAGGATGAAATAAAGAGGAAAGTTCCAACTTGCGTGAATCCACAGAATTTGAGAATTAGGCAAGTAAAAACTACGTTTCAGGTGTGGTGTCTTTGTTTCACCAACCCCCATTAATTGAAAGCTGTTTAAAACAGACATACCAAAGAAACTTGATTTCCCCTAATGATTTAAGACCAAAAATATCAAATTCACCTTTAAAAAAATAGGAAAATAAAACTTTGTTTAGGAGATGATCAAAGAAAAGGAAAAGTTCAAAGAGCATCATGCCCTCATCACAGCTTTACCCTCTGCCCTACTGAGACCCCCAGAGGCAAAACAGACTACTAGGAAGACCTAACCCCAAAGGGCACCTCTCAGACAGTACCTTTGATCCTTGGCTGCTCATCAGATCCTCCACTGAATGGAGGAAGAAAACTTGGCCAGATCACTGGTTTCAAGCTTTACAGCCCAGAAGACTCACCGGAGGAGCTTTTAAACCACCTGGTAACAGGTCACAACCACAAGAATGAGGGCAGACCATCTGGGACTGGTGGCCAGGTGTAAGTAGACTTTTTTAAATTTATTAATTTGGCTGCACCAGGTCTCAGCTGCAGCATATGGAACCTAGTTTCCCAATCAGAGATCAAACCCAGGCCCCTATACTGAGAGCGTGGAGTCTTAGCTCCTGGGCCACCAGGGGAGCCCCAGACTTCTGAAGCTCCTAACATGCAGCAAATTCTGGGAAGCACAGGGCTACACCGAACAAATACTGATCCACAGTCACAAAAGACAGTGAATCCACTGAGATACACACCACAAATACGTCCTTTATCAGAAGTGAAAAAGTCTCCACTGAGTTTCAGCTAACGTGGAAATAAAAAAAAAGAAACTAGTATGTATGAAAACATTTTCCCTTTCTGCCAACCTATTCCAATGAAAAAAGCAACCTTCAGTCCAGTCTCCAAAGGCTTTTATGCCATGACACCAAACAAGGACATACCGTGCTGGTTCAAAAGAACAGAGCTGCCCATACAGCAGCAGGCCCAGAGGCTTGATGGTTCACGGAGCTTCTTCACTTTCATTTCCCTCCTCAACACAAATCTGATTAAGTTCAACACCTGATATTAAGAAGCTTAAGTTATCACGGGTTGAAGAAAGAAAATTTACCGAAAGAGAATAGTGCCTTATGAAGGCTGAGGGACTGTGTTCTTATGATTTCTACTCTTTAATAGATCCTTTTCAAAGGATGATAGAAAAAGTGTCCAGAATAATCAAGACATGACCCGTTTCTAAAGGAATCAAGTTTGTAGAGAGACGTGATTTTGTGATTTCAATGTATTATATTAAACAATGTTATTCAATAACAATTTAGGCCAAAGGGGCTTTAAAGACGTTTAAAATTTACTCAGTATCCATAACTCTAACAAAAGCAGCCGCTGTATGGGCAAAAGGGCCACATAAATGTAAACATTTAATCTCTTGCAATTTGGATCATTAAATTCAAGTTGTCCAAGCTTCAACTGTTTTTATAGAGACATCTAAAGCATTCACACATATATTAATAGCTATTACAACTTAATAGTAATAAAAATTATTTGAGGGTTTTTCAAAAAATAATAGATTACTCTCAGGCTAATTGTAAACATTTGCAGTACAAAGGGAATTAGGACATTTACAAAATAAATGTTTCATATTTTTTTTTCTAGTACTTTCATTCCTCACTAGCTTTGGTTTCAGGCCTATTAAGGAACCACTACTTGGACTGCTGTTTCCCATACTTAGAGACACTATAAAAGATAGGGAACAAACTAACGAAAGAAAAGGCAAAGAAATTTTTGTGTTAATAAACAGGTGACAAACACAACCTAACTATCCTGATTATCCACAGCTAAAGCACACCAGAGTCAAGTGACTTATCACCTACTTTCTCAATTGGGGATTTCTTGGTTTGCTCATCTCCTTGCATAGATTTTGAGTACCCCTCTTCTTTATGTGCTCTCTTTGGTTGGTTCTGCTTCAGCCTTTGAGCCCATGATGTTATCGATTTACTATTTAAAAAGAAAAAAACAAAATACCTCTCTTTAAATGCTGTCTTCAAATAAAACTAAACACTGATAGAGACTATGCTTAGGACTGCTTTTCTAATAGCAGAGCGGGGATAGATTTTTATTGAGTTGCATGAATTTCTCTTTACAGTATCTTATTATTAAAGGCAAAAAGAAAAGGACTGACTACCAGTGATTAACAGTATGTATAGTCTGTAGCCATGGACAGAACAAAAACCACCACAGTGGCACCTATAAGTACTAAGTATATCTCCACAGTGAAACCATACTAATTTAGATGGACTTATGGGTACCCAAGATATGAGTTGTTATAGTTAAATACCTTACATTAGATGACACACTTCAGAGACATAAAACTGAGTATAACTTTAAGTGATTATTTGCCTTACAAATTCAGCCTAAGTTCCTTTTACTGAAAAGTCCCCTGGATGAATTAAAATGTCATTTAACTTACAAAATCTCTTCTAATATATAAAAAACATAAAATTGAGCATGCTTGTATATAATATTTGGTTTTAAATAATATGAACACGTGTGACAAAATTCCAGTTGATTCAGTCCTATACTCTAATTTCCAGCAAGTCAGTAGTGACTAGAAAATATAAAAGGTATTTTTCTGGCAAGGCCTCCCACCCTAAGAGTTTTCGTAGTCTTATTATCAATGGGAAGGCAGTCGATGTCGTTAACACATAGTGAGCTTTGTTACTTTCAGTTTTCCACAGGCAATAAATAAAAAATTCGATAAAACTGACATGTTCAAACACATCCCATTCCAACTAAAAAGAGCTGTATTTACTAAACATGTTTAGCTTATTATAAATGTATTTAACAAGTAAAACTCCCTTCAAGTGATGGAGAAATTCAACTTACTTGTTTGTTTTTCCACTGTATACTTCCGAAATCTTACTTTCACCAAGAAAACTGTGTTCAAATTCACCAGGAAAAATGGGAGTCTCTTCTTTTAAAGCAGCACAAAACTCTTCATTTGGATGTATATAAAAACTCTGGTTTTTCACCCCATCTCCAAGTGGCTCCGCTGGTACCACCGGTGCTTCAAACTGTCCTTCAGAAGCCTCTATGTGCTCCATGAAATCTTGAGCGTCCTTAGATTTGTAGGTGTTTAGTTCTGAGACGCAAAAGGTTCCATACCCACTGCTCACTGAGCTACTATCCACATTGCAGTCTGGTTGCGACAAGGATGCTTCTTGCTGCATTTCAGACTCTTCAGACTTGGGATAACTGATAACATATTCATTTCTCTCACCGTTTTCAGAAAAAAAACCCATTTGACTTTCTGAAGATCTTTGTTTGCTTAAAGAACTTCTATCGTAGGAAGCCCAGGAAGCATTATTGGTCTGTAACTTGACTAAATTTTTTATTTCCTCCTGTATACGCTAAAAATAAGAAAGAGGTTTGGGGGGAAAAAAAAGAGATTTGGCCAAGAATGTATATTAAATATCACATTTTCATAAATGTCTTAAAAATACTCGTTTTAAAAAAATACTCCTTTTAAAAATAAGAGATACTACTCTAAAGATGACACTTGCGCCTTACCTTTACTTTATAAGCAAAACTGATATAAAGAATTAACTAACTGGGGGCCTCTCGTCTTCTGAGATGCCCCACACTCTGACTGTAGTGTGTTTCTCCCAAGGCCGCTCTTGCCTTTTGAGATAGACCGCATTTCTGTCTATGAAATGTGTGTCTATGTAAATCCACTTATCTACCTTGGCTTTCACGGAGTTCTGTCTTCAATGAGACATAAAGAACCTCAGCTTCAATAAGTCCTGACACTAGGAATTAAGCCCCTACCAGGGTGGAGGACGGAACTATGATGCTGACCCTCCTGACTTCAGTCTACTAAAGCGTGGACTCTGTAGATCTCTGCCCCAATTCTATGCTGAATTCTCCTCTGCTCAAGCCTCCTCATGAATATGCATGTGCCCTTAGTTTAAAAACGTCCTCAATTTTACAGTTCAGGGAGACACTGCTTTGGGTATTCTCCTTACTTGCTGCAAGTAATAAATCCTTCCTTCTCACACACACAAAAAAGCGAATTAACTAATTGGTTCTGCAAATTTTACAATATGAAACAAGAATCAATATAAAGAACAACTTACTTGAATCTGGTTGTGGAATTGCTCCTGCTGAGCCACTATCTGCTCTTGGCACTGTTTTTCCACCAAAGTGAATAGTTGTAACCACCTGGTCTATTAAATTATAAAATATTTTGGTTAAAAATAATTTTTTAACTTAGTATTTCACAGAAATATTCTTCCAGTGGGAAAGGGCATTTTTAAAATGTATTTTTAATGTAAAAATTATAAGCTAAATTAGTTATAAAACTATAAAATTAGTTATAAAAATGCAAAAAGACAGGGACATAGGCTTGGGCACCCCTTTATGTTTCCTGTGGTCTGGGTAAACTTGAAGGTCTCAGTAAATCTGATTAACTTGATGTCATCTGCTACCTTTCTAATTAATCAACAGCTGCTGGTAGTTGCACTTCGAATTTGTCTTAAGCCCCTCTTCCTTTCCTCAAAACAGCCAATGGTATTCTTAAACATTAACTTGGACCCAGAATAAGAATCCCACATCTTAAAACAACAAATAGGTTTGGTATTATGAGAATTTGACCCCAAATTAATTTGTTTTTCAAGTTAAAAAAAAATTTTTGAGAGTAAGATATTAAAGTGTCTTAAACACTGTAGCAGCTAAAAAAAGAAAAAAAAAAGACTCTGAAAACCTATGGAAGTGACCTAAGATTCCCTTCAGAGCCCCTTTTAGGTCCTGAACCATTCTGACCAACCAAGAGTACTTAGTGCTCTTGTAACTAGATGAGGCCAAAACACAAGAGAGTAGTATGAATTCTCCAGAGGCTGAATTCAAACTAAAGGCTGGTCTACTTTCAGTAACAGTTCAGTTCAGTTTAGTTGCTCAGTCGTGTCCAACTCTTTGTGACCCCCACGGACTGCACCAGGCTTCCCTGTCCATCACCAACTCCCAGAGCCTGTTCAAACTCATGTCCATCACGTCAGTGATGCCATCCAACCATCTCATCCTCTGTTGCCCCCTTCAATCTTTCCCAGCATCAGGGTCTTTTCAAATGAGTCAGTTCTTCACATTAGGTGGCCCAAAGTATTGGGAGTTTCAGCTTCAGCCTCAGTCCTTCCAATGAATATTCAGGACTGATATCCTTTAGGATTGACTGGTTGGATTTCCTTGCAGTCCAAGGGACTCTCAAGAATCTTCTCCAACAACACAGTTCAAAAGCATCAATTCTTTGGCGCTCAGCTTTCTTTATAGTCCAACTCTCACATCCATACATGACTACTGGAAAAACCACAGCTTTGACTAGACAGACCTTTGTTGGTAAAGTAATGTCTCTGCTTGTTAATATGCTGTTTAGGTTGATCATAGCTTTTCTTCCAAGGAGCAAGTGTCTTTTAATTTCATGGCTGCGGTCACCATCTGCAGTGATTTTGGAGCCCAAAATATAAAATAAACAAACAGTATGCAACAATATATAATGTCAAAAAGTAGCTACTGCAACAACTGGCTTCCTTGTTTAAAACCGTCCAGTGTCATTTCCATTCCATTCCCTACAGGGCCCCGTGTGATCTGGGTTGCACACACCTCACAGCTTCCTCTCAAATCCTTCTGTCCCTTTCATGACACACGCTGGCCTCACTGGCCTCCCTCTGTTCCCTGGACATGCCCAAACTGTCTTCCGCCTCAAAAGTCTTGTACTGACACTTGCTGTACCCTCTACCTGGAAAGCTCTCTCCCCAGCTCTCAACGTGGTTGTCTTCTTCCCATCCCGCAATTTCAGCTTAATTATCCTCTTTTCTCGAAGAGTTTTCCAAACCATCCTCACAGGCACTCTCTTTCTTGGCATCCTGTTTAGTTCCTTCAGAGCATTTACCACAATCAGCAAATATCTCATTTGTTCACTTGAGTTTACCAGTCTCCTTCCCATCCCTGCCTGCACTCCAGCCAACTAGGATACAAGACCAAGTTAAGAGTGGGCACTCAGATACACAGTCTAAACAAACATATAACAATGGATGTTGAAAGCTGAAGGAAATCAACCCTGAATATCACTGAAAGGACTGAGGCTGAAGCTGAAGCTCCAATCCTCTGGCCACCTGATATGAAGAGCCGACTCAATGGAAAAGACTAATGCTGGGAAAGACTGAGGGCAAGAGGAGAAGGTGGCAACAAAGGATGAAATGGTTGGATGGTATCACTGACTCAATGGACACGAGTCTGAACAAACTCAGGGAGATAGTGAACAACAGGGAAGCCCGGCATGCTTCAGTTCATGGAGTCACAAAGAGTTGAACATGACTTAACGACTGAACAACAACAACTGCAAGCTGAACTCTTCTTGGTATTATGGACCACACAATCCAGGGATGCTCCCCATTAACGGTGAAAGTCATTTATACAATGTAACAGAATTAAGCTGAAATCTGTATAACACTATTAAGGAAAAGTGGAGAAAACCTCAAGATTGGAAAAGAAAGCCTTAAATGAAATATGAGGGCACTGACAGGAAGTGAGAATTCTAAGTCAACTGACTTCAGGACAAAACGGACTAGATCAAATCAAGTCCCTTACTTTCTCAACTTACAAAGTACCTTACATTAATGAAAACAGAAAAGAAACAATCAGGCAACAGTTTTCTTAAGTTATACCCCCATACCCTTAGGTGTTTAATCTGATACAGTTATTATTCACATAAAGCTTAACTATAATAATGATAGAAAAACAACTTACTTAATAAAAATAATGGCTTCATAGTATGTGAGATAAGATATTAATCATATCCTTACCATCATTTTCTTATTTAGGATACAAATGAAGAGAGTTCCTTCAGGCTATAAATTAGAGGAGATTTTTGTTTTTCTGAGACAGATTTTATTGTTTACCCTTTAATTTTAAATAAAGTAACTTAAAGAACAGTATTAATACAGTGATAACACTTGATTGTTCAGAAGGGCTATTATTCACTTCAAACTAAAGTGGTTTGTACTACCTGCATTTCATACATTGTTGGAGGATACGGGCACCTGACGGAAGTTTCCTGTGAACGCAGTTTTCCGATGCTATCACCTGCATGGGACTACTGTAGTTCGGTTCCCTAGTCTGACCTGGTAAATACCCTGTGGGCTTTCCCATAGTTCTGACTCCCACCTCTCCACCAACAGCTTGTGTGATTCTGAACAAGTAAATGTAATTTCTTTACACTTCAGTCTCCTAGTTAAGAAAAAATCCCGAAGGCGGTATCTGACACCCCTTTGCTGCCTTTGAAATCCAGTGCGCTTTTCTGGAGTGGGGGTGGGCCGCGCTGGGTCTCTGTTGCTGCGCAGGGGCTTTTCTCCAGCTGCAGCGAGCAGGAGCTACTCTTTAGCTGAGGTGCACAGGCTTCTCATTGCAACGGCTCCTCTCATTGCAGAGCACAGGCTTAGTCGGCACGCAGGCTTAGTTGCTCTGCGGCATGTGGAATCTTCCCAGGTCAGGGGTCAAACCTGGGTCTCCTGCACTGGCAGGCAGATTCTTTACCACTGAGCCACCAGGGAAGCCCTCAGTTTCCTAATTTATAAAATGGCAATAACAACACGTTATTTGTGGCTGAGAGGATTAAATTTTAAATATGATGCAGGCCAGGCCAGGATATCAATGGGGGAACTATATGTTGAAATCTGTGAGGTCATGGTTGTCACAAAGATAGTGGGAGCACCACTAGCATTTAGGGGGCATGGTCCAGGGATACAAAACACAGGACGGTCTCCACAATAAAGAACTATCTTGTGTCTGCTTTATATTATATTTTGCACAGTTTTCAAGTCACCAAATTGTCCAGGAATGCAACTACCAAGATGTTTCAGAATTTGCTCAGAAATTAGGCGCCATTTCAGAAAATCATGTCCCCAGCTACGGTGCTGGTACATCAAAGGCAGCCATGTGGTTCTGTGCTGATAGCCACTGCGTTCATGGAGAGTCTACATGGAGGTAAATGCCGGACTGCTTCATTATGTTCTCTAATGTAGATATATCTGAGCATTTATATATTTACATATTATCTTATTATAAATAAGTATCATTACTCCTTTATATCACAGGACATTACACTGACTTTTTTCAAAGCAGATACAAGCAGGTTATATTATCTGTGAATTTCATTTCAGGACAATAAAAGTTGATGTTATTTTAAAAGCTGTTATAAAAAGAGGGCTTCAGGTCTAATAAGGTTGAGGGCCACTGACAGAAAGTATCTCGTATACTGCCCAGCAAATAGGTAAGCAATAATCATCAGGTAACTGTTATTATTATAATCAGTAGTGCTAAATAGTTAAAATGCTATAGATATTGATATGCTTTAAAATTTTCTTACAATCATAGAAATATTAGCAAGTACTTTAAAATGCATTAGAGGAATTCCCCTGGGATCCAGTGATTAGGACTTGGTGCTTTCACTGCAGTGGACTCAGTTCCAATCCCTGGTTAGGGAACTAAGATTCCACAAGCCACACAGTACAGCCAAAAGCAAACAAAAAGAGTATCTTAAAGTATTTCTGCAGAAATGCATTAATAGATTCTTTCCTGATAGAATAAAAATATATAACCTTCCCAACTTTAAGCAGGGATAAACTTTGAGAATTCCAGAAGAGAAGTTTTAATAAAAGAATTCTAAAGAATCAGGTCATCACCAGATCTCTTCCAGAGCTCTGTAGAAGATTTAGTTCTTTAATAATGTACATTAGCTTCTTAACTGGTAGAAATCAGACAAATGTTACTATTCCAAAGAAAGGTATAAACATGAAATTCAGCAAAAAGTCAGGAATAAGACTTACACAATATTTACCCTCCTCCCATTCTTTCTAAATCACTACCCTAAAGTATCAGAGGCTTTTATTTTCATGTGTTACAAAAACACACAAAACAAATTCAAGAAATTTTACTGAAATGGCCAAAATAGCATTTCATGTTCTGTCAAAGTATGAAATAGCTTACAAAGCTCTTCAGTGAATAATCAATTACATGCCTACATTATGAAAATTAAAGTCAATTAATATTAAACATAATTTTAAAAATCTGTTAGATCACAGAAGAAAGGGCAGAAAGAAACCAATTCAAATGTTAGGAGGTGTAAGTGGCTAGCTAGTATCCTGGCGTGTAATAATCTATGTCTTAAATTCACAAATATACTCTGATTCTGATTGAAGATGTTGATTTCGAAGATTTCAAATAAAAATTTCTAGTTAAAAACAAATTTACCAGACGTCAAGCCACATTCAGGCAATTTACCTCATTTTTTTTTAAAGCACTAGGGGAAACATTTCATAAAACATTCCATTACTATTTACATCATTTTACAAGGACATTTTATAGGTCTTTTGCATTAGCACATACTGATCATTATGTGGAGAAAAAAAGTATGAAAATTTAAAACAGTTTTAAGTTTGTGGTAATAGTCATTTTTATAACCGATTATGGATAATGAATATAAGTAGATATTACTGATTTCTTAAACCAGATAATCTTTTATTGTTTATTCCACATTCTGAAAATTAACACAAATTATAGTCTTAGAACTATAATTAACATTTAAAACAAAATTTACTGCTCTCTAAATAAAGAATTTAATAATAATGTTTTATACATTTCTACAAACCATTACCAACTCAAGCCTTGGAAAAGTGTGTCTTGGGCATTACTGCATGACACAAAATTTACATATAAATATTCTCTTAACTGTTAAATTTTTATATCGCAATTTAACCTATGGACAAAAGAAAGAACCACTTGACCTGAATAATCAATGTAAGTCAATGGAGCACAGCTAAATGCAATAAGGTACGAAACAGAAGCCTTATTTGTAAACAGAGCATTCAAAATATTTCAAAGTGAATTTATGTTTTACAAAATCATGACAATTCTGTTTAAGTTACTTAAAAGATTAGGACTAGTAACAAATATCAACAATTTGGTTGTCGATTCTCATTTTTCTGAAAAAAGACATTTTAGTTTATAAAAACTAACAAAAAAACTAACGAAGTATAACAAAGTATTTTAGTTCACATTCACAATATATAAATTAGAATGTCTAATTTATATATTAGTGAATATATTGTTAAAACATACTTTTCATCACCTTCTTCACATTTGTTCTATATTGTTCCCTAATTAATACACTTGACCACTTTATTCTAGCAATAACTTAAGTATCATGCTCTTTGGAATATAAATTGCTAATAATTTAGAGTTGAGTAGAGACATATTCATACATAGAAATTATTTTTTTAATTCCAAAAATAAAACAAAACTAGATACCTCACAGTTTTTCCAAAGTTCCGAATCAGTCTTTCCACTGTTTTGTAGCTCTTGCATTAAAGAGGTGAGGACTTCAAATGTACCTTGAATTACAGATGGTCTGGTCTTCCCTGAGAAAGAGGATACCCCATTTGTACTAAGGTGGGGACTACTTCTGTTGAAACATAAATAATTCACATGGTTTTCTTCATTCTACCAAAGTGTTGAATAATTCAGCAGTTCAAGATTTAGCAGAGCAGTACAAAACTACTGATACTTAATCCTACTTAAGAGCACCTCATTTGCTGAAAATCTGATCACAAGTTTGTCCATGAAAGGAAAATAGCAGTGAAAGGACAGACAGCACTTAATTATATTTTTAAGAACACAAAACAGAAGGACCTTCGTCAGAAGGGAGAGAATACTCCAAAGTAGAGCAGAAGATAAAAGTGTATGCTAAACAATAAGGAAAATTCTCAGCGACTCCAATCTAAATTATTCCAGAGGATTATTTCACTCCACTTTAAGAGCAGTCCTTTATTGTAATGGAGATCCTTTCTCCACTGCCCAGAATTACAGTCACGTCTTGTTAACTGGATCCCCCTAATTTGGCATGATAAGCTCATGCTTATCTTTGCACTGTCTTTGAATAAAAGTAGTGCCAAGCAAATTAGTAGCAGATATTCAGGACTTATTTAGCCTATTCAATGTGTAAAATAGCACTAATTTTTCCCAGGAGGACTGCTTTTCCAAATCTGAGAGGAGTTTATTTCAGATTTGCTTTATAAAAACAAAAGGCATAATTAGGGACATTAAAATTTATTTAAATTCTAACCACTGAAAGGTCATTTTTCTTTTATTTATTGATACTCTGCTTTGTTTTACAAACAATTTGTGAAAAAGAGGACACTAATGAAAATAACACTAATATAATAAAGAGTTAAGATCAGAAAAATACTAACAAAAATTCAAGGGAAAGAACATCATATGGTATCCATTAAGGGTTTAATACACAATTATAGTTGTATAATAATCAAGTTTAAATTTGGCCAATTTAACTGCCAGTCACAATAAAAGGGAGACGGTTCAGTGACATAATTTTCATTAGAAAGGCACATTTAAGTTCCTCCAGGCAAATCAAACACTATGTTCTAAAAAGGGTTTCTTCTAGAAGTGGATTTCAAAGGGCTGCCAAATGATGACACAGGAAACAAAAAGTGTGGCCAACATTCAGGAAGTAGATACAGATTACAATGGCAAGTGTTTCTGGACCATGTCCCATGCTTTTTTTTTTTTCTCCCTTTCTACCCTACTTTATGCTTTCTCCTTTTACTTCATTTATTCTTGTAAGCTGCCTTAAATTCCTCCTGAGGAGGGCAAAGAATACACAAATCTTTTAAGGAATTTATTTAAAATACACCATTTCTTCAAGATCTATTACTATGTGCAAGTTTGCTCCTTATTACCAGTAGGCGCCAGACTGCTATGTTTCTGCTTTACTGTACTTGCTTTTTATAGGTGATAAATGGCTTCTGCCTCTTTGCTGTTGTAAGCTAATGTAAATTTTGAAGCTGGCGTGCTGTAGTTCATGGGGTCTCAAAGAATCGGACATGACTTAATGACTGAATAACCACAAAAAGTTTAGAAACCAAATAATCAACCTGTCCGACTGTGTATAAAATGAGAGCAAACAGGCCCCAATTAAAACAAACCAAATGTGGGATAATTTAAAAAGAAAATGCATAAAATTCATTGTTTGATAGCATCTATTTTGTCAACTCAGCCTGCTTTTTTGCTAACTTCCTAGTATTCATTTTTTTTTCAATCTTTCAAGATTGGTGAGGTATTTCTGCAACATGAAACATTATTTTTCCTCTTAATTTCAAAATGGAGAAACAATATTTAGGCAATTAAATTTTAAAGATATGCTTGTAATTTACCAAAAATAAAAAAAAATGTAAAGAGAACTGCATCTAGCAAAACAAGTTCTTTTTCACAACGCTCCCCATGTAAAAGCATATCTCTGGGAGAAATGAAGAACACGAAAGTACTGAAATTATTCTTAAACAACTGTCCTTGAATGGTTCCTGATCACAGTTTTGGGGTTTTAAAAAGGCAAACAGTAAGTATGACACTATTTGGATAAACTGGAAAATTATGCAAATAAAGTTATTTTGATTTGTCATTACATTAAAAAAATCTATTCCCATTCTTACCTATTAGTATTTAAGTTCAGTCCAAGAGAATGAGGAGAATTTTTTATATCAGATTCTATAGAAGATGAAGCTTTCTGTGAGGGTTTCCCCAAGTCAAAATCTTCCATAGTGTACAGAAATTGTTACACGTTCTCATTTGAAAATTCAGGTTCTTGCACTGTTTGAAGAAACTGAATCTGAGTCATCTTCAGATGCTTCATCGTCTACAGGCATTTTCAGTTGCTGACATTCAGAAGTGTACTATCCGAAGGTCCCAGGAGAGTCTGCAAATCAATGAGGAACAAAATACTATTACAAAAAACTTTGTCAAAACTTTAGAAACCTTGATCCTTTTATACAAATCTACATTAAGGACAGCAACACTTTTCGTAATAGTCAAAATTCAGAAACAACTCAAATGTCCATCGACTGTTGGATAAATAAATGTGGTGTATCCACGTGACATGAAGAGCTGATTCATTGCAAAAGACCCTGATGCTGGGAAAGACTGAAAGCAAAAGGAGAAGGGGGCGACAAGAGGACGAAATGGTTAGACAGCATCACTGACTCAATGGACATGAATCTGAACAAACTCCAGGAGATAATGGAGGACAGAAAAGCCTGGCATGCTGCAGTCCATGGGGTCACAAAGAGTCAGACAAGGCTTAGTGACTGAACAACAACAATCCATATAATATTTCTCAGTCATAGAAAATAATAAAGTGCAGAATTATGCTACACTGTGGATAAACATTTAAAACATTATGCTAAAGGGAATTCTCCGGTGGTCCAGGGGTTAGGGCTCAGACCTGTCACTGCCATGGGCCCAGGCTCAATCCCTGGTAGAGGAACTAAGACCCTGCAAGCAGCAGAAGGTGCAGCCAAAAAAAATACACACACACACACACACACAAAGTAAAACAAGCCCAACAAAAGACCCTATCATATGATTCCATTTATACAAAGTATCTAGAGTAGGCAAATCTATAGAGAAAGAAGGGAGAGAAATGGTTGCCAGAAGCTGGGAGGAGAGAATGACAGTGACCAAAATGGGCACAGGGTGTCTTTCTGGGGAGATGAAAAGTTCTAGAATTAGACAGTGGTGATGGATGCACAACCCTGTGACTATACTAAAAAAAAGCACTGAATTGTACACTTTAAAAGAATAAATTTTATGGTAACTTGTATCTCAATAAAAAATCTACAATAACAGTGATTTACAGAAGTAGCAGGAGTAGTTGAAGGCAGGAGGAGAAGGGGATGACAGAGGATGAGATGGTAGGATGGCATCACTGACTCGATGGACATGAGTTTGAGTAAGCTCCGGGAGCTGGTGATGGGCAGGGAGGCCTGGTGTGCTGCAGTCCATGGGGTCACAGAGTCGGACACGACTGAGTGATGAACTGCACTAGTATTTTTTCAGGTAACGTTTCAAAACTTTAGGTGCTTAATAAGCAAGGTTCCAGACACAATTCTGTGTAATATTGGAAAACTTACATGCCCTGTTCATTCCTTTAATACATTCTATCAAGCATGCTTGCTGATTTATACCATGAGTAGATGAATGGGAACTACTTAGTATTTAATTTGGTATTGAAAACAGCCAGTTAAACTGTTAACAATGCTTGTTTCCCCACTGAAGGTGGGGTTGGAAGGAATGCATTTTGCACTATATACTATACACACAGAGTACTTTTAATTACTTCTGAAAAAAATAAACTATTTGCCAGGTCCACTAAAATTTAACTGAAGCCAGATATACAGAGGTAAACTGGCTATAACAGGTAAACTGCCTCCTTTTTAAGGAATTCATGTACTTTAAAAAAAAAAGCCAAGGAATAACAGGGGGAAAAAAGAATAAAAGAAAACCTATGCCGCTTACAAGATGGAAGCTTTAGGGAACGCAATAGAGGAAAATACTTTATTATTCTGGTTCCTCTAGGTTCCCACTTTCTACGGCCTGGTTTCACAAAGCACAACCTTGAAAGCATCAGCTCACAAAGGAACCGTTTCCTTCAGGGACAGGTGTGAAGGCCAAGGGTAACCCGACCTAGTTAAATAGATTTCTCCCCAGTGACTCAGCCCATCACCAACGACAAAGGGTACTGACAAACTCAGGGGCCGCACCTTCCATCTGGCAACGAAAATATCTGAATTCAAATCACCTTGCTCTTCCACCAGGAAAACGCAAGCTCTCTGGGGACATGGATCTGCATGCAACCCCATCTATTATTTCCCCCCATGAGTTAATCCGGACGCAGTAGATCCAGATGGATCTTGAAATGTGATGATGCCTCCCCAGCAGAGCGTGGGGGTGGGAAGAGGGATGGGGGGGGGGGGGAATGAGTGTTTTAAGAAAGATATACAATGCAGAATTTTAAGAACCTGATGGAGAATGGATATAAGAACAGAGACGTTTTTGTATTTCCCACAAACAAAATATGACGCTTTGGATGCCCCCAGCGCCAAAAGGGAAAAAGGCAGTTAGAAGGAAAGGGAACGACTGATACGGGGTCTGCTGAGAATATAAAAGTTAACCAGGCGTTCTCCTTTGTTGGGAACCCGAGAAGGGGAAAGAAGGGATGATTTCAGGTTTTGAGGCCAGATTCTGACATTTCGGCGCTGACAGCCAGACCGCCGCTGCTGGTTCTCGCCTAAATTGTAGCCAGCAGGGAGGCCGGAGTTAAAACTATCGGTGCAACAACTACATTACTGATTCTCAAAGGAAGCCCAGGAACCCGGTCCAAAAAAAAAAAAAAAGGCGAAATCCCTCAAGCCCCCCGCCCCTGGGGAAAAGGCGCTCAGCGATTGGGCCGCGCGGGTGTCACTCAAGGGCACAAAGTCTAGAAAAGGCGTACGGACGGTGGCAAAGCCCCCACACGCCCGCGGGCTCCGGTGGGGTGGTGTCGCCTGCCCGTTGTCTTCCCCCGCCCTAACCCATCAGAACACTCAGGGGTCCGCTGGCTCGGTGTCCTCGACGTCGCGCCCCCTGTCCCCTGCGACTGGCAGCTCCCCGCAGGCCGGCGGCCACTTACCTGGCCGCCGCTCCCACTGCGGATGTCAGGGTCGGGCGCTCGGCCTCTCGTGACCGTTAAACTCGAGGGAGCGTGCGCGCGCCCGGCGTCTTGGTCGCGATTGGTTGCTTGGAAGGGGGCGGAGACGGCCGTGCAGCGGCGCGCGCTTCGGCTTACCCCTTCCTGTCCCCCAGCTCCCACCAGAGACAGAGGTCAGCCGCCTGGGAAACGAGAGGGGCGGGGCAGCTGTCAAGTCCTCTCATCTGATTGGCTCTCTGGGTACCTACGGTAGCTACGCGGGAAAGACTCCTTAGCTTCTCGCATGCGCAATAGGTAAGACGGGGGGGAGAGCTCTCAGACCTGAGGGCAGCTGCGGCGGTAGAGCCGCGCGTGCGCAGACCGGGAAGCGAGTTAGCGATTCCGCTCCTGCGGTGATTGCGATTCCTCCAGAACATTGGGGGCGGAAGGCCATTCCTGAGGTCAGGTAAGAGTCTGTGGAGAAGCTCGGCATCCACACGGTTGCTCACGATCATCAGGGGCTCTGGAGAGAGGACTGGGATCTGGAATACCTGAATTTCCCTGTTTTGCGACCCTGAGTCGCGCCGCCCATTGACCCGAAGGCCCCACTGGCGGTGAGATGAAGCCGGCCCCGACACCTGAACTAAATTGTCCCTGGATCTGATTTACCTTAGGCTGGTGGGGGGTCAGCACTGGGCTCTTCACGGACTTGGGGAGCGGGCGAGGACGAGATCCCACTGTTATGGAGAAAACAGTTCCACCGAAGCCGAAAGGCTTTACTTGTTCGGCAGAGCCTTGGGTAGTTATGATCATGCAGCTGGGCCTGTTTTAGGCATCATGAGGGTTTTGCTCCTGCCAATTCTTTCGAAGGACCACAGAGAACCCACGTCCCTTCCCGTGGGCCCCCCAGCCCATCTCACACGCACTGTTCAGTCCGCGTTTTTCAGACGAAAGTACTTTAAAGTACTTCCAGCTCTTAGATTTACCTCTCAGTGTCCCGAACCCTCAGTAAAGGCACTTCGCTAGCCCTGTCCTTAGGTGTACCTGAGTAGCCAGGATGCAGGGGCAGAAGGATGCAGGATGCAGAAGCCAGGAGCAGATGTTATTTGCCTTTGGAATAACAAATATGCCAAGAGGCGTTTCATCTGATCGGGGCCTTCTAAAAACACCTAACAATTTTGTCTCAACAGTAAAAATTCTCTCCAAAATCTTATCAGTGTATGGAAGATCTCAAGCTTAAATAAATCAAATGCTCCTCCCAATTGTGTTAATCCACCAATCAGTGCTGTGTTTAATACCTAAACTAAATCAAATTACTTTTAAGCACACAGGCTCTATTTTCAATGTCTATTTCAAGTCCATCAAAAAAACAAAACAAAAAGCAGTTTTACCACTAATTTCAGTTGGTTAGAAATCTTGATTGAGATACTGTAGAATCTTGCACTCACAAAAGAATGGGAGAGTGGATTTCTAGGCCAGCTCCAGGCAAAGGGAGGTATGTTTCCTCCAAGAAAAATGTTAACCCCAACATCAAGTACTGGATATTAGTTCCTAATCATGCACTAGGCAGGAGAGCATGGCTTTTCCATACAGAATCAGATGGATTTTGTTTCAGTGCGTTTCTGTTTTTGGCAGTGTGATTTTAGGTAACTTTCAAAAAACCTATTATTCTGCTTTTAATTAATAAGCCAACATGTTCAGGAGCTAGTATTCTGATCAACCAAGTTATCTTGTTAACGAACTGATATGAAATATTTTGGTAAAGGTACTCACACCTTATTTCTTAATTTAAGCTCTTTGAAGGGGTCTAAATATTTACAAATTCGGAGTGGAAATTGCTTTTGACTAATTGGACTAAAAAGAAGCTTTATAAAAAGAACGAGGGAAGAGAAAGCTCTAGAAATACAAGTACGTGCTGGGTGCTGCGCTTAGTGACTCCATCGTGTCCAACCGTCTTCGACCCCACGGATTGCAGCCTGCCAGGCTCCTCTGTCCGTGGGGATCCCCCAGGGGATCTTCCCAGCCCAGGGATAGAACCCAGGTCTCCTGCCTCGCAGGTGGCTTCTTTACCATCTGAGACACCAGGAAAGCCCAGG